AGCTTCCTCAGATTGCAAGGAATGGAGACACCTGAGTAGATGACCTTAAATGATGTGCATTTACTTTGAGCTGACAATAGCCACTCTGCTATTCCAGCATCTCTGCCTCTCTGATCCTTACCAGTGTAGCTGTAGTCTCTGGCATTCTTTTGGTACTTTTTTCTTCCTGTGAATAATCTGTTTGGTCTGTTCATACTTGCTCCCTTTATTTCATTTACTACCCTTCTCTCTTAAACCCACTAGAATAAGGATTCTTCCCCAACCCCAGCAGTAAAACTGCTTCTCTCAGCTTTATCAAAAAGCTCCACTCAATTCCCAGTCCTCTTTGTATCCCATCAGCAGGTCCTGACAGAGCTCATCGCTCCCTCCTACCTGAGACCATCTTTGCTTTACCCAGCACATGACTTTCTCCCAGTCATGTTTGGCCTTTTCTCATGTCTCTGATTTCTAAATGCCAGAGTTCCCCTAGCTCAATCCTTGGAACTTTTCTTTTCTCTACTTATACTTACTCCTTTGGTGATGTCTTCTAACTTCAAGAATGTAAATACTACATGCTAAAGATTCTAAAATTCATACACGTAGCCTGGATTTCTCTACTGAACTTTAGGCTCATATATCTAGTCACCTAATGACATTGCCACTTAAATGTCAAATAGGCATCTGCAGTGCACTGTATTATTGTTCAAAAGTTTTTGCCTTTTCCAGTCCCAGATTATATTTAACCCTGGTCCGCTGATGTCAGAGTTGGCCATGTGACTTACTGTTGTCAATGACACAGGAGTAGAAGTGACTTGTGCTAGTCCTGAGAAGAAGCCCTCAGGGCCATCATGTGGCTCCACTGGGCTCTGTCTTCCCTCTGTTCTGACACCAGAACCATCCCTGCTCCCTCAGCTTGGGTTACAGGAAGAGGTCTGCACAGCCAGGGCCAACGTGCAACAGACAGACACACATGTGAGTAAGAAATAAACCTTTTTGTTCTAAGGCATTAAGACTTTTGGAGTTGCTTACTGAAACAGACTTTTTTTTTTTTTTTAAGATTTTATTTATTTATTCATGAGAGAGAGAGAGAGAGAGAGAGGCAGAGGCAGAGGGAGAAGCAGGCTCCCCGCGGAGCAGGGAGCCCGATGCGGGACTCGATCCCAGGACCCTGGGATCATGACCTGAGCTGAAGGCAGACGCTTAACCGACTGAGCCACCCAGGCGTCCCCTGAAACAGACTTTTATGAACAGACCAAACAGACATTTAAGTGGCAACTCTAAAGAGACTGAGCTAGCATCTCAAATTAGCATACCCAGAACTGAATGCCTGGTCTTCCCTGCCCCCAAACCTGCTCTTCCAGGGTTCTCCATTTTAGTAATCATGGGCTTCAACTTTCCAGTTTTTGGACTAAGAACCTCTGAGTTGTCCTTGATTACACTTGGGATCTCCTATTCCACATGGAGACACTGGGGATACTTCGATGAACTAAAAACAGACAAAAATGATAAAAATTCCTGTTCAGATTACCTTTAATGAGGATGAAACAGACAATAATAATCATAGTAAGTTAATGATGTAATATTTAAACACTTATATATAATAAAATTACCATATAGTATTAAATATTTAAGCATAAGTATCTAGAAGGTAATGGGTGTGATGGAAATAACAGAACAAGGGAAAGGGAAAGGGAAATCTAGGGGTGAGAATGAGGGGGGGCGTTTGCCAAGGTGGTCAGAATTGACTCCACTGGGGAAGAAACATTTGAGCAAAGACCTGAAGGAGTTGAGAGGAGAAATCTGCATGGCCAATAATAGAAAGTGTGTTCTAGGCAGAGGGACAACCAGTGTAGAGGCCCAGATGTGGGCCCAAGCCTGGCTGGCATAAGTAATAAGGAATCCGGTGTGGCTGGAGCAGAGTAAGCAATGGAAATGGTTGTAGCTGATGTCAGAATGTAAGGAGGTGGGCAAGTGGCATATAATGTCGAGACTTACGGGTTCTCATAGCTAAGTCCTTTGGCTTTTACTCTCAGTGAGATACAGAACCACTGGAGGATGTTGAACAGAGGAGAGATATGATCTGATTTACATTTTTAAAGGATCACTCTGGCTGCTGCGTTAAGACTACACAGTAAAGGGAGTGGGAAGAAGGCTGAAGTAGGAAGACCAGTTAGGTTACTGAATAATTCACATGAGAGGTGATGGTAGCTCAGTCAAGGTTGACAGTGGTGATGACATCAGATTCTGGATGTACTTTAAATTTCCTGATGGACTGGATATTAAGAGTTAAGGAGAAGCATCAAATATGATCTCAAAATGTCCATCCTCAGTAGATGGCAGAACAGAGTTTTCCCTCAAATAAGATGGTAGCAGGTTTGGGGAGGGGAAAAAGCTCTCCCCATAGCCTAGTTTCAGACATGTTTATAATGTGTGTGGGGTGGTTGAATTGGCAGTCTGGAGTTCAGGGAAGAGGTCTATACTAGAGATTTAAATTTGGGAGTCATTGGCATATATGTGCTCAAAGCCACAGACCATGTGAGATTACCAAGGGAGTGAGTGTAGCTGAAGAGAAGAATCTTATCAAATATGTACAGCTTTTTGTATGTCAGGGGAGAGACAAGTAGGGAACGGAGGGGAAAAGGGAGGAGAGGAAATGACTTTACAAACCCTCATTCAGTCTCTGTGTTAGATCGGAGCACTGAAGCTTCTGAATTTAAATTCAAGTAAACCATCGGATCCCTTATATTGTTTTCCATACCATCACTACCTATTGGTAGTAACTGTTAACATTTATTGAGTTTTGTGCCAGGCTGCCAGGCTTCAGTTCTCAAAATAATATCTGCATTAAAAGCATTGTTATTATCCTCATTTTATAGATGAAGAAACAGAAAGCCTTGACACAGAAAGATAAATAACTTAGCCCAAATCTTCACAGATGGTAAACTGTAGAGTTGTTTGACTCCAGAGCATGCTTGAAGCAGGGCTGCTACTAGCCCATATGGTGCCCTTGTGAAATCAGTGAAAACATTCCATTTCACAAGTAAAATGTTGTTTTTGTCACAAAACCCAAATGATGGTTTCCCTGGGGAGCTAACCAAGGCACCAACTGGTAGCAGCTCTGCCTGTGTACACACAACTGCCCAGGCTTTTGCTTGATCCCACACCACTACTTCAGACAAGTTTTAAATAGTTTGTGTTGCTTCTCCCACTTCCATGATAGACAACGGTATCAAGTTCAAAGTTGGGGATGGGAAGCAAGTCTTTGAAAGTGCCAGGCAAGTGAGAGACCAGTCACAGGTGTCTCTAGGAACGTAGTCAGGGCAGGTACAACTTGTGCAGATGTGTGCCAATATATAGGTGGATGGTCTCCGGAGTGTGTGTAGTCATATGCACCCAGTGTGGGTTTTTGTAGGAGTTAGCTCTTCACTGCTCCAGAACTTTAGGTCTGCCTGTGATTTTATGTAATATTTATCTACAATGTGAATTACCATATTCTTATTTATGGTGTTCTTTTACAGTGTGCAATCTGAACAGTACTATGCAGCAACCTTACTGCTAATGATTCTTTTATTCATTAGACAATTAAGTGAAAAACTACACGCAAAGCGCTGTAAGAGGCACTACAGTAGATTCAAAGACACCCATTCTTTTCATCAAGGAACATAATTTCTAGTAAGAAAAATACGTACATAAATAGTATATAATACAGAGTGATAAGTTCTACAAGAGAAGTATTGAAAAACTGCTCTGTGAATTCACAAGAGGAAGTACTTATTTCAGTTTGGTTAATTTAAAAAAAATGTCATGAAGGAGGGAGCATTTGAGGAGTGGTTTGGAAGGTGGATTTGGATGTGCAGAGATGGAAACAGATATTTCAGAAGGAACAGTGCGGCTTAAAAAAAAAAGTGATGTGGTGTATTATAGTGCATGGAAATAGTGGATACTTAGTAAGGCAAAGTAACGTACTCATTCTGAACTCTGCCTTGGATTCCTGATGGGGTGTGAAGCTCTTATAGTGGTCCCCCAAACCACTGGCAAACTGCAAAACGAATGAAAAATGTCTTGAACACATACGTACAACTACTTTAAAAAATATATAAATGCTTTCAATTAATACAATATAAATCATTCAAAAACAGGACTGAATTCACAATAGGACTTTGTTATTATGTATTTTCTAAGTTAACAAGTAACAAGCATACTATAATGAGCTAGTTTAAGAAATTTTTTAGTGTTAAAAAAGTTGTGTTCAAACAGGCTGGTGGGTTCTGGAGTTAGACAAACCTTTATCTTGGTTTGTTTCTTCATCTCTGTAATGAGGATTATAAAACCAACCTCGTTTGGTTGAGAGAAAATACATGTCACATTTTTAGGTGTTCAGCAAATGCCGAGTATTATAAAATAAAAAGCTGAGATCGAATCAGTCCATCTTGACTACCAAGTTAACTGAGACTTTGTCTTTTGGGCGTGATAGTTACTGAAGGGTTTTTGAGTGACAAGAGAATCAAGGAGGGAAACTAGTTAGGTTATTGTAGTGGTCGAGGCATGAAGCACGACCAACGAATGAGCACAATTCTATGAGCACAGATTCTCTGTTGAAAAGAATGCTCTAGAAATTGTGCTCTTAAAACCTCCGAATTTTTAAAAACTTTTTTTTTTTTAACAACATAATAATACTCTTGGGGGATGCTAACTTGCAGCTTTCGGAAAGGACCTCCAGTATACCCAGCAGGTTCCATTTGGCCGGACGTTAGGGCGCGACAGTGATGTCACCGCGGCGGCGCGCGCTCCTGCGTCTCGAAGGACGTGGTGCGTCTTTACCAACGAGACGCAGGGGGCGGAGCGACTTCCGCAAGCCCCAGCCGGCTCCTCCGGTCGCGTCCGTGCGCGTCCTCGCGCTCCCCCTCACGGCCGCTGGCGGTGTGAGCGATGACGGCGTCGCAGTCACAGCTTGGATCCGCGCGTGCGCCCAACTCCCAGCCCTTCCCAGCGGCAGGCGAAGGGCGACGCCTCTAGGTAAAACTGAGCAGCTGCAGGAGGCGGACCAGGGCCAGCGGTGCAGGAGCGGTCAAGGTTTTTGGCCACCTTGGGGCGGGTACGATGGCGGAGGAGCCGAAGCGCGGTAGCGTGGAGTCCGAGCCTGGTTTTGAGGCAGTGGAGTCTACAGAATCTAAGGTGTCTTCATCGAAGACTACCGATGTTGTCGCACGGTCATCGAAGGCGGAGGACTATAGTAGCAAGTGCGTGTTCTGCCGCATCGCGGGGCAGCAGGAACCCGGCACAGAGCTCCTGTACTGCGAGGTGGGCTGCATGCGGACCCGGCGTGGGTTGGGAGCCCAGGGACCGAGGCCTCGCGGTGGCAGACCGCGGTGGGGTCGTTTCAGGCCCCCGGGAGGGAGGCCTCGCAGGTGTGGACCGGGGGAGGGGGGGGCGGGGAGGGAGGCTGGGTGTCCTGGTGTTAATGACGGACTTGCTTCTCTTGGTGTGGGGTCTGTCTCCAGCCGTCTTCTTGCTGTGCCGAGGGGGACAATGTAGCGATAAAGCCAGACACTTCGGCTTCTGTCTGCAAGTACGAGGTATTTGGCAGAAAATAGCATTGATTCCTCTCCCCACCCCCGTATCCCCACCCCCTGTCTTTCTAGACACGATTTTAAATTCTACACACTCTAATACTGCTACTAAGGAGAAAACTGGTAGAAAGGAGATAATGGTAATTGGGAAAAGCTTCGTTAAACTGACTGATGTTAGGCTGGGCGGGGTGGAGCCGAGGTCAAACTGTTTCTTAATAGTCGCAGGTTTCCACTGAAGGGTAAAGTTCGTATAGGTGTTGTCAGCTGGGATGTATGCACATTTTCAGGGCACTAAGATTTTGCTCAGGTACTTGAAAACAGATACCTGGTACACATTTTCTTCTACTGGTTCTACTTGCCTTTAAAGAAACAGGCTTTGGAGAGGATCAGGTCCAAAGATTCTGGGTGTTCGTTTGTTTAGTGATCGTTAATTCATTTGTTAAAAGTGAATTGGATCTGTTCTAAGCACCTGGTGTTGGAGATTCATTGGTGAATAAGATAAAGGATAGTCACTGTTCAGATCTTATAATCTAAAGGGTGGACTGAATACAGAGGAGGCAGCGGGCTACAGTGCCCTGTGCTCGGTGAGGTGGTTCTACCACCTGCAGTATTTTGTTCAGCTGTGTGATTTTTTTTTTTTACCCCTCCAGCAGCAGCCAGAGTCTAGTTTTAGACAAGGTGGTGAACAGTTGGGTCATCCCACGGTTGGGGTCTGGCCCTGTGGGTGTTTTGGAGGTGCAGTGGAACAAAGGTAAGAACTTATGGCTAGAGAGAGGAGTGAAGTGATAGACCTTGACATCTATGCTGAATAGGGGAAGGAGTGAAGACAGGAAGCAGCTACCGGGAGAGGGGCAGTACATCACTTGTCTGTAGAGTAGGCCTCTGCTTAACTGATCCATAGAGTCAGGATTTCACCACATATAAAATTAGGCTAGCAAGAAGTAAAGTGAATTTTTTAGCTTCACAGAATTCGATATTTCTTAGATGTCTAGAAACTGCTTTTAAATTTTGTATACTCCAGTACCAATGTTGAGGAAAACTAGTAAATAATAGGTACTAGTAGTGTAAAAAGTTTTGTCTAAAAATAGTCACGGAGGGGGGCACCTGGGTGGCTCAGTCCGTTAAGTATCTGCTTTCAGCTCAGGTCATGATCCCAGGGTTCTGGGGTCGAGTCCCTCATTGGGCTCGTTGCTCAGCTGGGAGTCTCCTTCTCCCTCTGCCCTTACCCCCTGCTTGTGATCTTTCTTTGTCTCTCTCTCTCTCTCTCTCAAATAAATAAAATCTTAGGGAAAAAAAATAATTAAATAGTCACCCCTGAGAGGGGGTGGGATGTTCCAAACTTCTATCCCAGTTTTTTCCAGGCCAAAGGTCAGGAATTTTTCTCTTTGAAGAACATTCTCAGAGTGAACTATGTGAAAAGCCTGGAACATTTTTATAGAGGAAATTAGACACATTCAATATTTTTAACTAATTTATATCCTACATAGGTGGCGCAGGATGAATATATACAGTAGTCCATATAATGCAGAACATAAGCAAGATGCACATGCTTGTACAACAGTGCCTCAAAAAGTTGCAGATCTTTTTTTTTTTTTAAAGATTTTATTTATTTATTTAACAGAGAGAGACACAGCAAGAGAGGGAACACAAGCAGAGGGAGTGGGAGAGGGAGAAGCAGGCTTCCCGCAGAGTAGGGAGCCCGATGGGGGATCGATCCCAGGACCCTGGGATCATGACCTGAGCCGAAGGCAGACGCTTAATGACTGAGCCACCCAGGCACCCCAAATTGCAGATCTTTTTAAAATTGAATCTAAGATGATTTCATATATAAGAACTCACCAATTAAAGGTTAAAGATTTATCTTTTTAAAAAGAGAAACTAATCTTTAATTTGTGTATTTTGCATTATATATATAGTTTATTCTTATAGTCATTCATATATGTTTATTGTAAATATTTAGAAACTATTGGGTTTATATAAAGTAGGGTAGACTTATAATTAAGTCCAGAGGAGAAAGTTTGATTTGGAATAATTGGAGTTATCAGCATCATGTGGGTTTAGTCTGGGAAATCTTTCTGACAAAAGCTGGAGAAGATTCCTCACTCCATAAGCATCCATATAGTATTTTTGTTGTATAGTGCAGAGTTGAAACTAAGCAAATACTAGCCATGCGTTCTCAGAGGGGGATAAAAGTTGCTTTGGGGGTGACAGTATCTTACTCTTTTTGTGTGAGGCAAAGGTAAACATAGTGGACACAAACAGATAAAGAGTATGTCTGCGGTATTAAAATATCATGAGAGTGGAATCAGGAAAAAAGTCTTAAGAATGTCCTCAGAGGGGTGACAGTGAAAACATGGTTGAGAAATACCAGGCTAGGTGTTTATTTTCACCTTGCTTGAGGCCACGCTGAGGAAATACTAGTTTAACTTTAATGTCCTCCCTCTTCTTAACCAAATTTGCCCTACACTTCAGATGGTGTGGTACTGAAATGTTCTTTCAAATGTTATTTCTTTTTACTTGCTTTAGCTATCAGTCAGGGGTTAGTTGCAGAAAGAAAAACTCACTATTTAAAGCAGAAATTGATCTAATGTAGGGAATTATTTGCTAAAAAAGTTGCAAGGGCTGAAGGAAAAGCCTTCAAGAATGACTTCCGGGGGGGTCCCTGGGTGGCTCAGTCGTTAAGTGTCTGCCTTCGGCTCAGGTCATGATCCCGGGGTCCTGGGATCGAGTCCTGCATCGGGCTTCCTGCTCAGCGGGGAGTTGGTTTCTCTTTCTCCCTCTGTCTCCGTCTCCCTCTGCCTGCCGCTCCGCCTGCTTGTGCTTACTCTCTGTCAAATAAATAAATAAAAATCTTAAAAAAAAAAATGACATCCAGAACATCACTTGCACACTGAGGACCTGTTTCCTCTGCCACAGCCAGGAAGGTAGGAGTCAGGTGACTGCCACTAGAACTTAGACTTCAGGAAGATGTCTCTGTAGCTGTGACTCAGAGGTGACGAAGCAGTGTGATTGCCACTGTTGAGCAGTGTTTCCAATGGGAGTACTTTTGGCGTTTGGGGTTGGATTCTGCTTTGTTGTGCAGAGCTGTTCCACCTTTTGTGGGATGTTTCCCATTTCTGACCTCTGGGTGCTAAATGCGCATAGCACCTACATATTTCTACTCCCCTTTGACCAATAACACAGCTTCAGGGCTATACTATACTGCTGGGTCTGCGCAGGTGGGCCATGGTGCCAAAAAAATGAATGTCTCATGTCTGTCTCTTGGCTTGCATGATGCTATTGACTAGACAATGGAATGGGGGTAGGGAAGAAAGGAAAGAGGATCTCGGTAGTCTTAGAGCTGACCATGTTTGCCTGCTGGAACTAGCGGAAGCTGCAGAAAGATGGCTTTTTCTCAGGTTAGCTTATCAAAGCGCCTAAGTCTGAAATACATCTAGTTGGCAAGATCTGAATTCCATCTGGGGTTTTGGCTTTTTAAATTTCTGTGGTACTAAAGACACAGAAGTATTTGGAATGGAGGTTGAGTGCCCACCTACCCTGTTCACCACAATTTATTTGTCGTATTTAATGGATGCTAAGCCCAGATGCTTGGATTCAGTGGTGATAATGAAGTTAAGATGGACTAGCTGTTTGTCAAATACATGCATTCTCAAAAGGGGTAAAAATTGATGCTCTTGCCTGGGACAGGGACAGGGGCAAAAAAAGTTTATATATATAAAATACACGTATAGTACTTAGGATATAAACACATGTACAATTTGGCTGTGGTATTAAAATATCAGGGGAGGGGGGCAATTAGGAAAAAAAAGTCTAAAAAGTTGCCTTGGGGGGATGGTAATGAAAAAGGGCTGAGAAACACTGTTAAAATCAAACAGTGGCCATAATTCCAACTTTAAGAAGGTGTTTTGCAAGGACAGACTGAAAGATCTTGGAAAGTCTATCTCTGTTACTGGAAAAGTATGTAAAAACTATGACACCATTTTTTTTTTAAGGAGTAGAGGAGGGAGCATTGGTAGCTTTATCTTTCTGTTTAAGCATCTTTTATTTATTAAACAATCTTTCAAATTTATGTGTTATTCACCTGTAGTTCAAGGATAAATATGGCATGTCCCACACTTGAGAAGCTTGCTTGTGATCTGTGTTGAAAGCGTAAATGAAAAGTTCTCATTTAGTGGTTGTCATTAGGGATGGATAGTCAAAATTCTGTGTTTAAAAGTCACTTGAAATATCTTTTCTTTGGGGGTGCCTGAGTGGCTCAGTTGGTTAAGTGTCTGCCTTCAGCTCAGGTCATGGTTCCTGGGTCCTGAGATCCTCCCTACTTGGGCTTCCTGCTCAGCGGGGAATCTGCTGCTCCCTGTCCCTCTGCCCCACCCTCCCACTCGTGTGCTCTCTCTTTTGCGCTCTAGTTCTCTCTGTCTCTCTCAAATAAATAAAATCTTTTTTTTTTTAAAGAAATTTCTTTGTATGGTTATGTTATCAAGGTGACATATTAGGTTAGGTTTGTTTCTGTTTGTTTTCAATTTTTAGGGATTGTTTTTAAGTCCAAAAGGGTGTTAAATATTCATGTTTTTTTAAAGTCAAAATTATAAAGCTAAGTACATTCGGAAAAGTCTAGCTTCCGTTCTCTTATCATCTTTACCCTGTTCCTCTTCCCTCACAAGAAACTAAAAAATATATATTTGGTTTAGCCTTCCATTGTGAGAATATGTATGTATACGTTTGTATTTGTACTCCCCTTTCTTACACAAAAGATGGCCTTACCACTCTCCTGCTCCTTGTTTTATTTTTTTTTAACTTTGAAGTGTATTTCAGAAATGATTTTATAAGTATATAAAGATCTTTTTCATTCCTTTTTGTAGCTACATATTACTTCATTGTATGGATTTGCTATAATTTATTCAACCGGTCTCCTAGTTGAATTATGGACTCTTGGGTTTGTTTGGTTTTTTTTTTTTGCTATTACAAATCATGCTGCAAAGGATAGCTTTGTACATGCATCATTTCATATTTTTTGTCATTGTATCTTCGGAATAGGAGAAAGTCTGTCTTAAAATGAAGAGTCTAAATAATGGCTAGTTCAGTAGTAGCAATAGGAGAGAGAGTAACATCAGAGGGCCAATTTCAATATTTTAGAAAGCTTAATGGAAATCTAATTCAATCATTGCATTGGCTAACTAAAATGCATAGGTTTTCCTTCACCTGTTTTGCCCCCCCTCCCCAACGTTCCTTCTAGCAGCTACCAGTTTGTTCTTAGTATAATACCCTCTAGGTCCATTCATGTTGTCACAAATGGCAAGAGCTCATCATTTTTTATGACTGAGTAATATTTCCTTATACATGTACATCATATCTCCTTTATTCATTGATCTATTGATGGATTCTCAGGTTGCTTTCATGTCTTGGCTATTGTAAATAATGCTGTACTAAACATAGGGGTGCATACGTCTTTTGGAATTAGTGTTTTCATTTTCTTTGGGTAAATAAATACACAGTCGTGGAACTGGGGGATTATATGGTATTTCTGTTTTTAATTTTTGAGGAACCTCCATACTGTTTTCCATAGTGGCTGCACCAGTTTGCATTCCCACCAACAGTGCAAGAGGGTTCCCTTTTCTCCACATTCATGCCAACACGTATTTCCTGTGTTTTTAATACTAGCCATTGGACTGGTGTGAAGTTTCATATCATTGTGGTTTTGATTTGCATTTCTCTGATGATGAGTGGTGTTGAGCATCTTTTCATGTGTCTTTTAGTCATTGAAAAAATTTTTATATAAGATATTGAATAAGGATATTTAGGGAATATTGATTTTCCTTTTGGAAAAGCTTAAAACTCAAATGTCAGTAGGTTGAAAGACTCCCTTTTTCATTTCTTTTCTTTTTTCCTTACCTGAGTATGTGAAGTATGTAAATCAGGAAACTAGTATAATGGATTGGACACTTAGTGCAATATACTGGAGTTTGTCTTAGCATTTCAAAGACTTTTTAATGCTGTAAACAGAACAAAAAAGTATTTGTGTATAACTGCTGTAAAAAATGTTTAAAAAGGTAACCTCTGGATATGTAGATGCTAGGTGATTTTCCTATTATAGTTGTATAACATGCGACTTTGGAAAAAAATTAAATGTAAAAAAGAATTTATCAATCTTGTTATGTTTCTGTAGTCAGACCTTTAAAAGTACATATTAAGAGTGAAAAACCCTTATATAGGTAGAGATGAAGAAATATATAAAGAAATAAAAAAAAACCCCTGGGATTGTTGGTAATGAAGTTTTTTGTTTTGTTTTTTATTTTATTTTATTTATTTATTTATTTATTTATTTATTTATTTATTTATTTATTTATTTATTTATTTTTAAAGATTTTATTTATTTATTTGACAGAGAGAGACACAGCGAGAGAGGGAACACAAGTAGGGGGAGTGGGAGAGGGAGAAGCAGGCTTCCCGCGGAGCAGGGAGCCCGATGCGGGGCTCGATCCCAGGACCCTGGGATCATGACCTGAGCTGAAGGCAGACGCTTAACTGGCTGAGCCACCCAGGCGCCCCTGTTTTGTTTTTTAAAGATTTATTTGTTTATTTGAGAGAGAGAGAGAGTGAGCACAAGTGGGAGGGGCAGAGGGAGAAGGAGAGAGGATCTCAAGCAGACTCCCCACTGAGCATGAAACTGGACATGGGGCTCTGTCTCACAACCCTGAGATCATGATCTGAGCCAAAACCAAGAGTGGGACACTTAATCCAGTGTACCACCCAGGCACCCCTTTGGTAATAAAGTTTTATTGAACTTCATTGAGAATTGTTTTCCTGAAACTAGCTTTATATAAGTCTTCATTTTCTGGAGCAAATGAGCATCTCATGAAGGATGCTAAAGCTTGTCTTTATGAACTTAATGCATAATCACAAAATTGCCCAGCTGGGGTTAGTTGTAACATAAGTACCATTTGCCTATCAGACTGAGATTTATGGTGTTTAAGACAGGTCAGAACAGCATTAGGAAATTCTTTTTAAAAGATTCACTAACAAATGGTATGTTTTTTTCCTTCAGAATGAAGACCTAGTTTGCTTCAAAGATATCAGACCAGCAGCACCTCATCATTATCTTGTGGTGCCAAAGAAGCATCTTGGAAACTGTAGAGAGCTAAAGAAAGATCACATAGAACTGGGTAAGATGATAGCAGTATTCCTCATGGTTATGTCATCCTGAATTGGCATCAGTGAAAGCAGTGACAATTAAAAAGAAAAAGTCTAGCCAGGTGTTAATGAAAGAGGAGCATTTGTGAAACTTCTGTAATGAAAAATTTCAAATATATACAAAAATAAAGAATATAGTGTAATCTCCATGTGTTCATCACCCAAGCTCCACATTTATTAACTTGTGGCCAATCTTTTTCATCTGTTAACATTCTCCCACAGTGGATTTAAAGCAAATTCCAGACATCATGTTATTTAATCTTTAAAATCTCTAAAAGATAATGCCTCTTTATGTTTTTTTAAATGATGGCTTTCCTTGACTCTGAAAATGGAAGGTGCTATATAAAATGAGACCATATTGGTACCTGCCCTGTAAGTTTCTTGTGTAGATGAACTAACACCAAAGTTTGGTGATGGGATTTTAGCAATGACCTTTTGGCTTCTGAATCTTGTCTCTTACAGGATTATCCTGTATTTTCCTACTCGTGATTTCTGTGACTTACCAGTTATCATTTCCTAAGACATTTCTAAGTTCACTTCATATCTGCTTTCATAGCCTTTGTCTCCAGGGTCTGGGATTAGTTTGGTTAATAATTTAAGTAGCTGACAAGATAGATTGGGCCAGATTTTTTGGAGGTGAATAAGAAATATCTTCGATGGAAAACTTTGAAATGTAGTTCGTTAGTATTTAGACTATTGAATTATCAGTTTTTAAACTGTTTCTTCTCAATATTGCAAAATTCCTTCGTCATCTGAACTTCTGTGAGTACATTTCATATTTATTCCAGCAGATAAAGGTCAATATTTTTGCAACATTTAGCGTCAAACAGCAGCCACCATGCCTTAAGTATTTCCTTTTTATAATGCTTTTTTAAGGAGGGAGAAATATGTTCATGCTTGGTTTTCTTTTTTAAATACATTCCAGCATTCTGTTTTATTGGAAGTTTTTATAACTGTTGCAAGTAAAATGTTAACCAATTTTGAAGCAGCGTGGTGGGCATTTGTGATTTTGTTTATGTCTTAATATTTCTCTAATAAAGGTTTAAATGCTCTTGCAGTTAATATTTATATACAGTCTATGAAGTTGGGAAAATAATAAGAATGTGGAAGAGCTAAATAACACTGTCAAGCATGGTGATTATAATTGATATTTTTAGAACTCCCCCCAACAATAAAGTACACATTTTGTTAAGAGCACATGTTCACCAAGATAGACCATATTCTGTAAGTCTAAATACATTTCAGCTTATTGAAATCTTATAACCTATGTTCTCTGATGACAGTGGAATTAAAGTAGAAAAATAATAAAATCTAGAATCGCACTAAATATTTTTAAATTAACACACTTTTAAATAATTTCCAAATAAATAAGCCAAAGACAACAATAAAGCATTGATAGCAAAAATACAACATATCAAGATTTGTGGAATGTAGCCAAAGCAATACCTACAGGGAAATTTATAGCTGTATATGTTTATGTTAGAAGAGGATGTTTAAAACCAATGAACTAAATTTCTGTTTTAGGATGCTAGAAAGAGGCAAGTGAATCAGACCAAAGTAAGTATAAGGAAAGAAATAATAGAATAGATAACAGTGAGATAGAAAGGAGACAATAGGTTTTGCTCCATGTGTTCTGAATCTGATTTTAAGTGAATACATAATTATGATTGTCATGCCTTCTCAATGAATTGATCCTTTTTTATCATTGTAAAATGTCCCTCTTTATCTCTGGAAATACTTCTTGAGCCTATTTTGTATGACATGAATTTAACTACTTTTTCTTGTTACTTACTGTCTACATTGGGTACTTTTTCTATACTTTCAACCAAATTGAATATTAATATTTAAAGACTTGAAGATAGCAATATAGCTGCGTCTTGCGTATTTATTATTATTTTTTAAATGTAGTGTGAAAATCTCTGATTTTTAATTGGAGTGTTTAGTTCGTAATATAACTATTGATGCAGTTCGATTTAGGTGTACTATCTTGCCATTTGTTTTAATATATAATATTGATGCAGTTCGATTTAGGTGTACTATCTTGCCATTTGTTTTCTTTAATATAACTATTGATGCAGTTCGATTTAGGTGTACTATCTTTAATATAACTATTAATATTAACTTTAATATAACTATTGATGCAGTTCGATTTAGGTGTACTATCTTGCCATTTGTTTTCTGCTTGTCCCATTTTTTGTTGTTATTGCTCTCTTTCCTGCCTTGTGGTTGTTCAAATATATTTTTTGTTATTCTATTTTAATTTATTTCTTGCCTTTTTATGTATTCCTCTTCACATTTTTTTAAAAAAACAGTTGCTCTAGAGAGACTAAAATACTGTGTAATTATCATAGCCTAATTAGAATTAACATTATATCAATTCATGAAAAATGTGATAAACTTTGTAACACTTTGTGTTATTGTTGTCATATATATTACATCTACATTATAATATCTTGGTACTGTTAAAATTATTGCTTTAAGCAGTCATATGTCTTTTAAAGAAATTAAGAGAAAACATTTTCTTCCATGTCTGGGATCTTGGGAGTATTTTAAAAGAAAACAAGATACAGTCTTGCTTGAAGTAACTTGAGTTTTTTTTTAGACAATATGGTACCGACTTTGTCATGGAAGTCTGTCGTCCTCCTGGCTCAAGCCTGACTTAGAGAAGTAAACATTCACAACAATTTTATGAGCCTCTTTTGTAACAACCATCTTCTGTAGATTCTCTCATTTTTCCCCCTTCCAAATACTTGGTTACACCGTTCAGAAACAAAAGAGGTCTAAATTTTGGCATTGTGCTTTGGAGATTGCAGGTTACCAAATTTTTTCTCATGGGGAAGTGTATTCCTATCTGAAGGCCATAAAGCACCAAGACAATAAAGACACTAAGGCACATAGGGTTCAGAAGCCAAAACAATTATATGAACATCTAGCTAGTCAGAGGTAGGCTGACATGAAAGGCTATCATATCTTTAATTTGGGTTGAAAGACAAATTCAGTTTTCCTGCATGTCTTCTTAGTTCAAACATGTTTTTGTTTCTTACTTGGTCTCCTTATGATTAGAATTAGACCTCAGTAGGATCAGATGTCCTAAGTAGTCACTTAATAGTACTCCTCAACAGCTGTTCAAAGTCAGCCTATACACTGTACTTTGATAAGTTGATACTTCATTTCAGTTTTGATGAGCAAACTTCTCAGTAAATTAGAACTATTAAACAGGTCTTTAAATGTTTACCCATTGAATACGACTTTTGATTAGGATCCTAAAAGTTAAAACTAATTACAATTTAGTAATGTCTCCTACAGTATAATGTAGTTTCTTTCCTGTTTTATAGTTGAGAGCATGGTAACTGTTGGAAAAACCATTCTTGAAAGGAATAATTTCACTGACTTCAAAAATGCGAGGTATGTATACTTCCAGATAGAAACTAATATGTGTAGTTAGTTTTTCTGAAATGTCGTTCCTTCCTGGGAAATGAAAGCAGAGGTAGCTTAAATACAGTTTTCCTGAAAGTGAGCATACATTGTTCATTGGTAGTACAAATTTAATAAATAAAACTTCTTCCTCTCATGTCTCAGCATCTAATAATCACCACTTGGAGTTTGGGCAGACAAGTCTGTTTAAGCAGTGGGTAGGTAAAATAGTTACAAGTCCACCTTTCTTTGTTCAATATGTCCATTTCTATAAAAATTGTGTGTAGGGGCGCCTGGGTGGCTCAGTCGTTAAGCGTCTGCCTTCGGCTCAGGTCATGATCCCAGGGTCCTGGGATCGAGCCCCGCATCAGGCTCCCTGCTCCGAGGGAAGCCTGCTTCTCCCTCTCCCACTCCCCCTGCTTGTGTTCCCTCTCTCGCGTTCTCTCTCTCTGTCGAATAAATAAAATAAAATCTTTAAAAAAAAATTGTGTGTAAATTAAATTTCTTTAGAAACTATTTGATTTTATGTGATTTAAAAATATAGTATTATCCTTCTAGTGGGAAATTAACTTGAATTCGTTGCCTACTGAACTGATCTCTGGCATTTGCCAATGTTTGAGCAAAAAAGCATATGATGTTCAATGTGGCAACTCTTTTACTTAATCTAAATAGTGTTTTTTCCTTTTTAAAAGACTTCTGACTTTGCCTTGTGTGACCAAAGGCTTGCCGAGACAGGTAGATCAGAGATTACTTCTAACATCTGAACTGGAATTCAAAGAGACCTGAGCTCTAATGCTGTCCATGCTACTTGCTGAGTACTGGGCTCATACTGGCTATGATACTTGAGGCATTTAACCTCTCCGAGATAATACCTGCTCTGCCTACTTACCAGTTCAAATAAGATTGTGTGTGTGAAAATCCTCTGAAAACTGTGAAACGCTATTCAAGGGTGATAGTGATAAGGAACAGATGGTATTTGAGACCCTTTGGCCAAAAGCAGTACATTCCCTTCCCAGTCAGAGGAGTGCTTATTAGAAGAATGGACGTTGGACCAAGAGTCTCAACCCTCGCTCTGTCACTGCCTGACTTTGTGACCTTGGAAAGTCTCCTACTTTTTGGATCTTGGCTTCCCCATCTTTGAAATGAAAGGGTTGAATGAACCTTTGAGTTGCTTCTAACTTTTAGAAGTTAGAAGTGTTACTTTGTAACACTTTGTGTTATTGTTACACATGTAATACAGAATCTGTATTACATGACTCCTGTTTCACAGAATGAAATCTCAGTCTCTTTTTTCTAGGCAGTGGTGGAAGCTTTTCAATATGTGTCCTGTTTCTGACTCTCCATTGTCAGTCCTGTGTTGCTGCAATAGACCACTTCTCCTACACCCCCTTACACTTCCTCTCACTGTAGTCTTTTTTTTTTTTTTTTTAATTGAGACTCACTTCTAGTTTGAGGAGGCAAATATTTCTAGGCTTTAGGCTTGGATTATTGTTACAAGTGTGCCTTGCTCCACTCAGAATTTCTAAGTGGACTTACAAAACTGTAAACTGATTTTTAAGAGAGAGAATCATATTTAAAAAATTTCTTAGTAGAAATTTGTTAGTAGTCAAAGGAATTCTCTTATAAATGTTTTATAAAGCAGATAATTATTATTATATAACGTATTTTCATTATTAAGCAAGAAATTCGAGTGATGATAAAGTTTTTTTTAATAATGATATAAATAATCTCACTATGGAAAGATGGGTTGGTAAGGAAATGACTACTTTATTAAAGGAGAAGGCACACCATCTACTGGCTATGTCTTGGAATAAAGAAACCCTTCTACTTGAGTGTCATGTAATTTTTTTTAAAAGAAAAGGGTGGAATTTATGCCAAACATAGTACACAACCAACAACTTTATGCCTCAGCTGTACAGTCTAAAAGTTAAAGGTCCCAGGAGTGCCCTGTAATTTTTTTTAAAGGATTCATTGCAGAGCCATATCTTAGGAGAATTAAAGGTTAAAATTGATAAGGACTGAGGTGATAAAACATAATGCCAACTCAGAATTGATAAAGGTTTACCGAGACATTATACGCTCTTAAGCCCTTCCTTGATGAAGAGTTTGTTACTGTGAACTTCAGCACGAAAAGAGGAGAAAGTGTGTGAATACTGAGAAGTGTATAAAGAAAGCGGTAAAAGTGATGTTTGAGTGGCAGTCTGTCTACCCTAGGTAACCTGTTTGGATATCTTTAATGGTTATGTGTTTTAACATGAAAAAAAGCTTTAAACTCTTGTAGAACTGACTTGCCAACTATCTGTAACCTTTCTGTTTTAGAATGGGTTTCCACATGCCACCATTCTGTTCCATCTCCCACTTGCACCTTCATGTGCTGGCGCCTGTCGATCAACTTGGCTTCTTATCAAAATTGGTCTATAGAGTGAATTCCTATTGGTTTATCACAGTAAGTGTTATTATTATAGTAGCAGCATACAAAAGTATTTAAAATATTTGTCCTTTTGTTATAGTTCTTTTCTTGGCAACAGTAGGCACTTAACAGCTTTCATAGGCTTGATCCTCTCTTTTAATGTACTGCTCACACATATCCAAAGTAATATTTTTAGCTTAAGGGATTTTCCAGGGTATCAGATCTGTAGGAAGAGAAGTTATGGCTATGTCTTTCCATTGTAAGCAGAGGATATGATATAGAAGAACCATGGAATTAGCAGTTCAGAACCCAGAGTCCGATCTACATTGAAATTGTGGCTCAGTTACTTGAGGTCCCATGTGCAAGTTACTTAAATGTTTTAAGGACCAAATTCTTTATCTATTACCTGCCTATAAGGAATACTGCCCACCTGTAGGGTTGATAAGAGGATTGATAACATAATTTACATATAAAGCACTTAAAACTGTACCTTGCAAATAGTAAGTACTAGTAAATATTACCTCCTGCCTCTGTTATCATTCCCAACATTATTGTAGAAATTGAATTTCTGTAATTTTCTAGTTTAGAAAAGGGCTGCCTTGGTAACATTAACTGTCAGATCTGAGGTTGAAGCCATTGAGCCTAAAAAATTACAGAATTCTGCTTTGCTAGGGCAAAAGTAGAATAGAATTCAAGCTGATTACGGGCCTGTTGCCTGACAGTCAAGCCTTGGTTATTAAGTGACTGTCCTTCCAGGGCCACTTGCCTAGTAATTTACCAGTCCCTATGTGTCCATGAGGGTAAGGAGACTTATAGTTGCTATTTTAAAATAATCACTGAATTACAAATTAAATAATTGCTGTTAATGCATATCATTATTATAGTCATGGTACCCAAGAAATTAAAAAGCATGATTTCTAGAAACTTCATATTTCAAACTTAGTATCCCTCTCTTCAACTTGTCCAGATGATTTTATTTAATTTAAAAATAATTTAAGATATTTATGTGTGTGTGTTCTAAATAAAAATTAGTAGAGTATTCGATAGGGCAGTTGGTGTGGTCTCTTTAAAAAATCAATGTGATTAAAAAAGGGATTTCCTTTGTATTTCTAATTTTCTTATTTGTATTCTAATAAGAATTAGAATTTGTATTTCTAATTTTTTTTGTATTTCTTATTTGTATTTCTAATTTTCTACATGCTCCATGCTTTTATAATAAAGTAAGGAAAAATACATTTTTTTGTAATTTTTTTTTTTTTAAGATTTTATTTATTTATTTGACAGAGAGAGACACAGCAAGAGACGGAACACAAGCAGGGGGAGTGGGAGAAGGAGAAGCAGGCTTCCCGCTGAGCAGGGAGCCCGATGTGGGGCTCGATCCCAGGACCCTGGGATCATGACCTGAGCCAAAGGCAGACGCTTAACGACTGAGCCACCCAGGCGCCCTTTTGTAATATTTTTAACTGTATTTCCTTACATGACTTTTTAGTTAGAAAAAAAAAAATGAATGAACAAAGTTATAAGATCTGTTAATGGTTCATTCTGTGAATCTGAACTCTCCTTAGATCTGTCAGCATATATTATGAGACTTTGAAAAAAATCAAGATAAAGATACTAAGATTTAGGGCGCCTGGGTGGCTCAGTTGGTTAGGCGACTGCCTTCGGCTCAGGTCATGATCCTGGAGTCCCTGGATCGAGTTCCGCATCGGGCTCCCTGCTCGGCGGGGAGTCTGCTTCTCCCTCTGACCCTCCCCCCTCTCATGTGCTCTCTCTCTCATTCTCTCTCTCTCAAATAAATAAATTTAAAAAATCTTTAAAAAAAAAAGATACTAAGAGTTATTTCAAAATCTCTTATATAAAGTTTCAGATAGAGAAAAGTATTTGAAATAATAACTAGAAGACTTTGGTTTACTTTTTAATTTTTTTAATAGATTTTATTTTTTAGGGCACTTTTAGGCTCACAGCAAGATTGAATGGAGAGTACAGAGAGTTCCCATATACCCTCTATCACCCATACACTCACTGTCTCCCACTATGGACATCCTACACCACAGTGATAACGTTTGTTATAATCCATGAAATTACAGTAACACATCATTTTTACCCAAAGTTCATGATTCACACTAGGGTTTATTCTTGGTGTTCTGTATTTTATCGGTTTGGACAAATGTGTAGTAACATGTATCCAACATTATAGTATAATAAAATCCTCTGTGCTTTACCTAGTCACGTCTCCTTCTTCCTTAATTCCTGGTAACCACTGATCTCTTTAATGCCTCCACAGTTTTGCCTTTTCCAGAATGTCATATGGTTGGAACAATACAGCATGTAGCCTTTTCAGATTGGCTTCTTTCACTTAGTAATATGCATTTAAGGTTCCTCCACATCTAGTTTACTTTGTAAAATGTTAGTATTATATTTATTTTCCTTTTCTTATTGAAGCTTTTTAAAGCAATGTGGATAAAAATCTGCCTATTATATACAATGTGGAATACCTTTACTATAGTTTATAAAACTATTATATTGAGAAATTTTTTATAAGATATATTTTAGGAACAGAATATGTAATAGCCAGCTCTTCTGCTTTGACTTAATATAATAGGAATACCAGTAGAATTATTTCATATAGGCTCTAATAACTAGAATTTAAAAATACGTTGTGTTTTCAAAATTACAGGCCGATTGTTTGATTGAAAAACTAAGAACATGAAAATGTCAACAGTGGAAGATTCTCCTAATCTTGGCTCAACATAAACTAATATTTTGGTCCTTTTGAAGTCTGATTACAGTTGTAAGGTTCGTTAGGTTTTATGAGAGGCTATTCCTGGCTAGCCTTAAATCTTTTCTGAATGTCTGTTTCCTGAGATATGTGATACAATCCCATGGATACTTCGTCATTGACTTCTTTGTTTTAATGGTTACTCATTTAAGGTGTAAGATACTATAGGTAAAATTCCATTAAAACAAATCCCATTAATCAGGAAGGGCTATTTTTTTTCAAAGTTTAAATATTTTCATTTCTCCATAGTCTATTATAATAGTGACTTACTCATGAAGAATAAACTGGTATAGAAACTACTTTATTGGAGCCTTTGTTACTGTGAAGGGGAAAAAGAAATTAACCATTTCTTGACAGTTATATAAGTTTACACACAAAATTTCAAAATGAAGAGTACCATACTACATAGTGATTTCTGTTGTTGATGGAAAGAGTTGTGTATGTGTCACTTTTTACTCAGATTTCGGATGCTGGTTTTCACTTCTTGAAGCCTGACATTTTTGTGATAAATTGTTCCTTAAAGCTATATAATTAATATACATAAGGTAAATTCTAATGGTGAATTTACAAGAACAAGCAATTTGGCAATCCAAGAGAATTCACTGTAATGCCATTTTACCTGTAAGAACATAAATGGGGAAGAAACATAAAATGGTCATAGTAATATATTAAAAACTGGTGGAAATTGTTGTTTTATGGTTTGTATATTGTACCAAAGGAAAGGTAGAATTAAAAAGTGATTAGGCCTGGCTTTTATCATGAAGAAATCCTGATTTGAAAGTAGAGACAGATAAGCTGAGATGAGAAAATTTATTTTAATAGCTCAATGTTAGCATTACTGATATATATCATTTCATTAGACACATTTCCTTAGGGATTGTGCTGATCTACACTAACAATAGTGAATGTGAATGAAGAGTAAGGTACTGAAGCTGATCCTACATTGTGCCAATGTATAGTAACACCCTGTGCATGAATATAAATGAACACAAAGATGAAAGTTAGAAGTAGGCTGAGATGACTAGTTTTCTTTCTTATTTTTGGCATGATATTAAACATAGTTTTAAGCAATGAAATACTTATTACAATGTTTAATTACAACACCTGGGATATTTAGTTACGACATCTGAAATAAACATTTATCCATATAACAAACATTTGCTGAGTCTTTTAACATGCGATGATCAGTAAATGTAGGTGAGAAAGAACAGTCTGTCTTCAGATGCTAATACAGGGGTCAGACAAAACCAGCTGCCCTACAGCTTAGTGTGTTAAGTGCTGTGATGTCCACAGAAGAGGCTGTGGAAAGGAACACGATTTTGAGAGCCAGCGGCAGTAGAGCTGAATATTTAAGACTCAGTGTTTGGCAGGCTGACAGTGGGAGTTTAGGCCAAGAGACCCACATGTGCTTCTCCTGAGTTCTGCTTCCGTTATTACTTACTTTACGATTGAAGTGAATGTTCACGTTCCATTTTAGTCACTGGAAGTGGAAGTAGGGGTTTTGGGCTCTCAAAATTAGATTTCCAGGCTTTTTAGCACGGCTTTGTTAAGTAGCTCACTGAGCCACCTACACAGATTAGCAGTTACAAGTTTGTAGAAATCAGCTCAAATATGACCAGCTTTGGAAAAGGAATTTTCAGTATGTACAACATGTTGTACTATGTGAACTTGTAATGATATAACTGACAATATTATGATAATAACATGTAAGGTATTTAAGGAATTCTCAAATGCCTTATGGACCTCTTCAAAAATATGATTAGCCAGTTGATTTAATTTATATAGGTTTATACCCTGTCATAGTTAAGTTTTCCTTCTTACTTGGAAAACCCCTGATCCTCACATTCTTAGCAGAATTTCTCTTTTACTTGTAAAGATTAATAACTTACTACAATTAAAATTCACTCAGCTTTTTCAGTAGAGTATTTGGTAACTCAGTAGCTACCCATAACAGTAGCTAAACACAAAACCAATTCATAACTTATATTAAAGTAGTATCTAGAGCATTATTCATGCATGTTATGATATTGTTTGTAACTGCAGAATTGTAAAATTAGTGAGTTGTTTCAAACTGTGCTTACTTAGCTAAAAGAAAGCTAAATAAATATGGAAAAATACTGTCTCAAGTTTTGCCTCTCTGGACTGTGTGTGGTGTGTGTGTGTGTACGTGTGTGTAAGACTTTAATTTTTAGAGCAGTTTTAGGTTCACTGCAAAATTGAAGAGACAATATAGAGATTTCCCACATAGCCTCTCTCATTATTAACATTCCCCAGAAGAGCGGTACATTTGTTGCAGTTGATAAACCTATTCCTACGCTGACACATCATAATTACCCAAAGTCCATAGTTTATCTTAGGGCTCACTCTTGGTGTGGCACATTCTATGAGTTTGGGCAAATATATGGTGACATGTATCCATCTTTATAGTATCATGCAGAGTATTTTCACTGCCCTAAAATTCCTCTGTGCTATGTCTGTTCATCCCTACTCCACCAACCCCTGGCAAGCAGTGATCTTTTTACTGACTGTGTAGTTTTGTCTTTTCCAGGATATCATATAATTGGAATCACACAGTAGATAGCTTTTTCAGATTCGCTTCTTTCACTTAGTGATATACATTTAAGGTTTCTCGTCTTTTCATGGTGTGATAGTTCATCTCCTTTTAGTGCTAAATAATATTCCATTGTCTGGATATACTACAGTTTATCCATTCACCTACTGGAGGATACCTTGATTGCTTCCACATTTTGCCAATTATGAATAAAGCTGGTGTATGCAAGTTTTTGTGGGGACATAAATTTTCACTGCCTTTGGGTAAATACCAAGGAACATGATTACTGGGTCATATGGTAAGCATATGTTTAGGTTTTTTTTCTTAGATTTTATTTATTTATTTGGGAGAGAGAGAGAACACACAAGCAGGGAGGAGGGGCAGAGGGAGAGGGAGAAGCAGGCTCCCTGCACAGCAGGGAGCCTGATGCGGGACTCGATCCCGGAACCCTGGGATCATGACCTGAGCCGAAGGCAGATGCTTAACCAACTGAGCCACCCAGGTGCCCCAGCATATGTTTCGTTTTATAAAAAACTGCCAAACTGTCTTCCAAAGTGGCTATACCATTTTGCATTACCACCAGCAATGAATGAGTATTCCTGTTACTCCACATCCTTGCCAAAATTTGGTGTTGTCAGTGTTTGGGATTTGTCCATTCTACTAAGTGTGCAGTGGGAGCTCATTCCTTTTCTCTGATGACATATAATATGGAGCATGTTTTCATATGGCCATTTACCATCTGTGTATCTTCTTTGGTGAGATGTCTATTAAGGTTGTAGGCCCATTTTTAAACTGATTTGTTTTCTTATTGTTGGGCTCTACACTCAGTACGGAGTCTGCTTGTCCCTCTTCCTCTGCTCCTCCCCCTGCTTGCATGCTCAATCTCTCTCTCAAAGAAATAAAATCTTAAAAAAAAAAAAATCAGATCCTTGTATGATTATTTAAAGACACACAGGTGGGGCACCTGGGTGGCTCAGTTGGTTAAGCGACTGCCTTCGGCTTAGGTCATGATCCTGGAGTCCTGGGATCGAGTCCCATGTCAGGCTCCCTGCTCAGCAGGGACTCTGCCTCTCTCTCTGACCCTCCCTGCTCTCATGCTCTCTATCTCATTCTCTCTCTCAAATAAATAAATAAAATCTTAAAAAAAAAAAAAAAGACACACAGGTGAAGATGGATCCACAATCAACCATCATCCATTAATTAAACCAATCCCCAAGTCAAATATTTTCAGGTAAATGTATTATATTTCCTATTGATGTAAAACAGGCACCTCAAGCTTATTTCCCCCTCCCCTCCCCATTCCTCTCAGTCTTCCCCATCTTTGTTAATGGCAACTGCAAACTTCCAGTTGCTCAGGCCAAAAATCTTGTAGTCATCCTTGACTCCTGTCTCTCATACTTCATATCCGACATCTTAGCAAACCTTATGAGCAGTATTCTCAAAATATATTCAGGATTTGACCACTTCTCCCCACTTGTACTTCTGTCTTCTTGGCCAAATTCTCCTCGTCTCTTGTCTAGATTATTGTAGTTGGCCTTCACACTATCTCTTTTGTCTGTGTCTACCCTCCAGTCTATTCTCAACACATTTGTACATTCAATATGTAGAACATGTATGCCTTGATGTTCTCTTAGCCCACAGTTGCCAAACAATTTGCCCTCAGACACGAGGGACCTGAAACAAAAATCAGTTCATTCCTCTCAGTGCCCAGTGTCTCTCTGCCTTTTTGGACACTCCTCTTCTCTTGCTTTGAACGTTGCTGGAATCACTTGAGTAGCTCCATTCTTCCAGTTGCTTCCTTCTAGCACAGCATCCATCAGAATATTTTCTAAATTATGACCTGGCTAAGTATTTTCTTGCTTGTGAAAACCTGTTTTCCCTCAGAATTACTCACCAGCACGTTCACCTTAATCTCCTGCACTTGTATCCCATTATGCCAACCATTTTTACTATTCCAACTAAACTGAGCACAGCTTTGGAAATCTGTTCATTTTTTAAAGCTGGGTTAAAATGTTATCTCCTCTTCAAAGTCTTCCCTGATACTCCCATCCACAATCACAGCAATATTGTTTCTTTAGCTCTAGTCTGTGAGATTTGATTTTCCCAGCATAGACCTTACACAGTCTAACTGGGAAATAGGGGGATATCTCTTACCACTGGATTTTGACCTTTTTTATGAGCTGGGGGATCTAATTTTTTATCTTGTATCCCCATTGCCTTAGTTCAGTGACTGATTTATATTAGTGGTCAATAAAGATTTTATTTTAATTTCTGAGTCCCTTAAAATGTTACCATAACAAACCAAAATCTAATTGAGCACCATGATAACCCTAATTCCAACTACTTTCAATCTAAAAATCAGGAGTATAACCTAGACGTCTGTTGAATCTCCATCACCTTATGTTCTTCGTGGCAGTATACATGACCACTCTAACTTAGGTGTAAAACCTCTTTGAGTTTCAGAAGAATTCACCCACACCAAGCATTTCAAGCATTTAATAACCAAACTTGTTGGGCAACAGTAAAATAGCACCTAGTTCCTGCCATCTTTCCAACTCTCTTTTTCTCTACTTCTTCTCCCTTTGCCTTTAGAACATGTTTCTCCTCTTTTTGCATTAGAATTTTTAAAATTCTCTGTAAAGCCTTTCTTCTAGCCAACATGCGTGGCCCATAGGAAATCCTAACTTAAGTAGGCTATTCTAGATATTTTCTCAGCTAAGATTTTCTTGAGATTCTCAATCTAGCTGGTAAGAGAGGAATATTTTCTTCTTGTTACACCTTCTGCTGAGAAACATATTTGCAGCATTTTGCCAGTTTATCATATAAGTTCTCTCTCCAAGCATGGGTAAGAGGAAGGCAAACGTGCTATTTATCTGTGGTATTGGTACTCAAAGTCTATCTATCCATACTCCTCTCTCCCAGGCAATGATTCTCAAACCTCAGTGTGCATCAGAACCACCTGGTGGGCCTGTTTAAAACAGACTGCTGGATCCCACCCTGAGTTTCTGATTCAGCAGGTTTGGGGATAGGCAGGACTTTGCATTTCTAAGTGGTTCCCAGGTGATGATGTTGCTGATAGCTGCCATCAAATTAACAACTGACGTGTTTTTAAAAATATGTTTAGGCCACACCCCAAATTAAATTCAAATCCCCAGGGATAGATTTTAGGCCTCAAATTTTTAAAAATTCCTCAGGTAATTTCAACGTGCAACCAAGTTTTAAGAATCTGTGCCCTGTAGGATTGAGTAAAACTCCTCCTATGGCCCTGTTAAAGTAGTTCTGAGGAAGATGCCTTTTAGGGATTTGAGACCATTTATTTTATATGTAATAATTTTTCCCCCTGGAAGCAAATAAGATCAAGAGCTGGTGATTACTGGGAATTATGCTTAAATAAGAATCTGTGGGTCCCTTCCTAGAAGGTAAGTTGCACACTTACTTTGGGACTGTTAATACTTGCATGTTGCCAAAAGCCTTCCTTTGTTTAGAAGTCGTTTACTTACATTTTAGGAAGGAAAGAAGAAAGGGAGAGTAGGAAGTGGAAAGCAGGGAAGGAGGAAGGACAAAAGATTTGGCTCAAATGTGGCAAATGCACTGTGAACTTACATCACCTCTGCTTCACGAGTTCTGCCCAAGAGAAGTAATAAATGGGGTCCCATTCAGAAATGCGCAAAGCTGGGTGACAGGGTGGCTTCAGATGGCTAAGCATCTGCCTTTGGCTCAGGTCATGATCCCGGGGTCCTGGGATTGAGTTCCGCATCAGGCTCCCTGCTCAGTGCAGAGCCTGCTTCTCCCTCTCCCTCTGCCATTCCCTCTACTTGTACTCTTCTATCTCTCTGTCAAATAAATAAATAAAATCTTAAAAAAAAAAAAAAAAGGGCACAAAGCCACGTAATTTACAAAGCTGAAGCCTGGAGCAGTGTGGATGATATCCAGGTCTTGTTTGGCCTTGTATTTGGAGTGGAATAAAAGTAGAATGAAAGATTTTTTGGTATCTTATGATCTCGATCTCATGCAAACAAAAGAATTAAATTAAGTACCAGCCCAAGGAAGGAAGGCATCCCTAATTTTGGTAGGCCCTAGGTTAGGCTCCTTTTGGAAAACTGTTTCTATTTCAGCCAGTTGCTAAGATATGGTGAGAGTTGTTCTCTAGCCTAGCTCAATCAGGCTGCCATATTACCTCTGTCTGGAAATGTATGGCTTTTGATTATTTGAATTTTCGCAGCATTAGAGTTTAAGGATGGCCAGGACAGAAGGCTGAATCTCCAGCCCATTTTCCTTCACATTTTTTCTATGCACAGAACCTACTTCACAGGAAGCAAATTAATAGGTCTAGTTTATAACTAGGATTTCAGGTTTGTTTGGGGGGAGTTTTTTGACCAGAGGACAAGCTCTACTTTTCTCCACTTCTGGAGATCTTGAGTCATATTTAAATCAACTGCAGCTGCTTAAGTTTGAACTGGTGCCGTATCCTATCTTGTTCAATTTTGTTTCCTGAGAGCACCCAGTGTTTGTTCTCTCTTCTCCTCTTCCTGGATTATCTTCATTTAGATTGAGGATACTGGAGACCCTTCTGGCATTTCATGAAATTAGAAGTTGGTCAAGAATGCTTACCATAGTGAAGTCCCCATAGTTGTTATATAACTTGTTCCAATAAAACTTTATTCTCCAAACTGTTCAAAAGCCTCTTGTTTTTTACTCATTGCAAAAATCTTCTAGTCTTGGGACACCTGGGTGGCTCAGTCTGTTAAGCTTATGCCTTCGGCTCATATCATGATCCTAGGGTCCTGCGATCGAGTCCACGTTGGGCTCCTTGCTCAGCGGGGAGGCTGCTTCTCCCTCTGCCTGCCACTCCCCCTGCTTGTGCGTGCTCTCTCTCTAGCAAATAAATAAAATCTTTAAAAAAAAAAACTTCTAGTCTTAATACATATGCAGAGAAGTTTCCTACTTGGTGCACAAATGTCTATGGCTCTCTGTGATACCCAACCCCTTTTCAAATGTTAGATGCTCAGCCTGAGACAGATGCATAGACAGTTTTAACGTTACACATGACTTCTGCTGCTGGGATCTGTTAACTCTCTACTCATTTCCTTTCTTCACTGACCCTGCCCTAATACTCTCAACAGTATAAGGGCCTGTTATAACAGAACTTAAGATTCTCCTACTTTCGGGTCCTAACTATCTAGGAGTGATTCTGGTTTTCAGTCATCATCAGGCTAGACCAGAGACTCAAATGCTTACATAATAGTAATCTCACAGGAGGAGCCAAGTTTCTAAGAAGTCTGCCCTGGTGGATGAAGCATGGATGAAGCTTTGGATCAGTTCCCAGAAGATGGACTATGAACTTCCTTGCCCCTTCCAGTACAAATTAAAAAAAACAAAAAACAAAAAACAAAGACAATTGTGAGTCTTTACATGTTAGTTTAAATACCAACTTTCAAAGTCCATACTCTCTTGCTGCTCCTTAAGGACTTTAGTAAGCTCAAAAACATGGAACAGCTCTGGTGTGACTTCTTCAAAGGCAGTTTAATTGATCTCACAGATAGTTCCACACTAACCCTAATGGCCTGGCCTGTGCAGGGTTAATTTCTACTTCCCCAGACCATGTAACCAACAGTTTGAGATTCTTGATGTACGTGACCTCCTGCTCATTTCTGGAGTGGAGAATCAGTGGGGATTTAGTCATGAACCTTAGCTTTAAGGAAGCTAAGGACGCTCATGTGAAAAATCAGTGAACCTTGAATTTGGGTTCTTGTAGGCCATGTATTCTCATTTGATATCTCTGCACAGCATCCTATTAATCCAGGCATGAAAATCACCACCTCTATGATATCCCCTATAAAGTTACTCCATTAAAATTTAATGTTTGGTAATTCTGACAAGCTTTGGGGATGGGGCATATCAAATACTGCACATCATTCCCCTAATATTTCATTGGTTCTCTGTCCCACCTTGACCTCTCTTTTCATGTTTCATACTCTTACCCCTTTTGAAGCCTTGAGGCCAAGAGACATCTGCTCCTCGGAGACTCACTTTATTGCTTATCTTTTTTTTTTTTTTTTAAGATTTTATTTATTTATTTGAGAGAGAGAGAATGAGAGACAGAGAGCATGAGAGGGAGGAGGGTCAGAGGGAGAAGCAGACTCCCTGCCGAGCAGAGAGCCCGATGCGGGACTCGATCCTGGGACTCCAGGATCATGACCTGAGCCAAAGGCAGCCGCTTAACCGACTGAGCCACCCAGGCGCCCTTTATTGCTTATCTTAAGTGGACTTAACCAAGATGTCTTCCTAACAGACAGATTGCTTGGAAATTTTACTTGTTTTTTTAAAGAGAAGTCTCCTTAAATTCCATTTATTCGCCCCATACAATATGCCAGGTGTTTTATTAAACACTTTATGTACATTATTCCACTTAATCCTAACAGTCCCTTGAGGAAGGCAGTATTACTTCATTTTAGATAAAACTGCTGTCAAAGGAGGCTAAGAAATTTGCTTAAGAGCGCATAGATTGTAAATAGTGGAATTGAGATTTGAACCTAAGATTGACATCACAGCTTATGTTCTTAATCATGGCTATGAAGTATGGAGTTTGTTCCCAGCACATGGTGCTTGGAATATGTAGTACTCTTGTACTTTGTGCAATATTATAGTGGGATGCAAAATAAACTGCTCTCAATAAGGCAAAAGCAATAATGTATATACATAGACTATGCAAATTTTTAGAATTTATGATATGCTACTTATTTTATGTGCTACAAAATCTGTGCCAGCGTGAATAGTTAGAAGCAATTTCCATCATTGTTTTAATATAGAGTTGGCTGTGGACTGGGCCTGTGAGTCTAACATCAAAACCTCCTAATAACTGAGTAAATTATTGAGGACGACATTGTGTTTTCTGTGAGGTATAGAATGAACCGTTCAAGAGCTTATTCTAATTGGCTTAGAAGGCATGTATCCTTGAAAAAGTATTGCAAAAATACAAAAAGTATAATAGATATTAGATGAGTGGCCCAGATTCTCCAAGCTTGGAGTGGCTAGAGAAGTCTGCACGGAAAAGATAAAATTCCAGTCCAGTTTTGAAGAACTAGGATTTGAAGCGTTCTTAGAAAAAGTTGGAAGCACGTTCCTGGTGGGAGGATCGATGGGAACTTGTTTTACCGCAACCTGCTACTGAACACAACACGCCCCTCACACCAGCTACTTGTACTTCCGCATTTCAACCAGAAAGTGCCTCGCAGCGGACGTAGCCCCTCCAGCAGCGTCCCGGCTCAACGTATCCGTGTGAGGAACCCAGGGACAGCACCCGCCTTGCCCAGCTTCCGCTTCCGGCCGTTCAGGCTCCGCCTCAGCGGAAAAGGCTGTGTGCGGGAGGGGGGAGAAGAGGTGGGAAACTGCTCGCGCCGCGCAGGCGCACCGTAGGCGGCCGCAATGGCGCTGTCGTGCACCCTGAATAGGTATCTGCTGCTCATGGCGCAAGAGCACCTGGAGTTCCGCCTACCGGTGAGCCCGCACTGCCCTCCGCAACTTCTTGACGGGAGAGGACGGCACGGTGGGGGCTGGTGTGCGGGCGGCGGAGATCTCAGCTTCAGCAAGCAGGGATCGGGTGTGTGTGCTTGTCGGGGATATCACGCGTCCCCAGTCCCTCGGTCCCTGGGAAGGATCCGAGCTCGGCCGAGGGTGTGTGAGAGAGAAGTCCAAGACAGACTCTCACAGACTTGCCAAGCATTTTCATTCATTCTTCTGCCCATGCATCAGGTATTGGAGTTAGGCAGGTGAATATGACCCGTCCTCTCTCTCCAGGAACTCTTGTCTAGCGGAGAATAGAGACAGCCAACAGAAATGCTCAGTGCCGTGTTTTAAGTGGCAAATATGCAGGTCATACCCCGTGGAGGAGGGTGGGATTGCTGGTGGTGGTGGTAGGTGGCAAGGGTTAGATGATGGAGAAGTTGGGAAAAGTGTTTCATTCATTCAAGAAACATTTTCAGAGTACTTGTAATTACATGTGCTGGACGCTGGGGATATGGAGATGGCAAAGACTGTTTCTGTCTTCAGGGAGCTTACTATTTAGGCTAAGGTCCGAGCAGATGTATAAACATTAAGAAATAACATTTGTAAGTGCAATGGTAGATGCGTAGGGAAAAAGGAGAGCATAGAAGGGGAATCTAATCCACCTGAGGGGGTGAGGGATGTTGGCCTTTAAGATCGCTTGCATGAGGATATGACACTTGAACAGTAACTAAAGTATGAGTAGGAGTTAGCCAGGCCAAGGATATAAATAAATTAGAATTATAATTCAGTATTACTGGATTATGAAATATGTAGCTGAGTGACAAGAAGAGAGCAGGAGAGGTAGATAGGGGCCAGAAAATGCAAAGCCTTGAATACTCTGGAAGGGAAGAGAAAATGTATTTAGCTTGTAAGGGAAATTTACTGAAAGAGTTTTAAGCAAAGAAGATTTTTCCTTAAAAATCACTTTGGCAGCGATAATGAGGATAGATTTGAGAGGAATAAGTCTGGAATCAGAGGCCAGTTAGGAGCCTGTTGGAATAGTCTTGTTAGTAGATTAAGAAGGCCTGAATTAGGGTAGGGGTAAAAGAATGGGATAGACTGGGAAAATATTTAGGTGATGAAATCATCAGGACCTGATGATCGAATATGGGGGGAACAGGGGCCAGTCAAGGATGACTCCTGGGGTGCATATAAGCGCATCTCCATTTAAAATGTAGAGCACAGGCAGATGAAAGATTTAAATTTTGGTTATTATGAATTTGATGTGTGTGTAATATCAAGTGGAGATGGGTGGGGGGGCAGTGAATGAATATAGGAGTATGCATGGAGTAGGATAGAGTGGTCTGGACTGGTAATAAATGTTTTGGAAGCTTCTGCATTTGAACTAGGAGAGAAAGTGAAATTATTCAGAGAAAGCATAGTATCGAAAGAATGGTGGGCCAAATACAGGAGCTTGGAAGCATTGGTACTAGGGGGAAGTGAGAAAAGAGGAGGTAATAAGGAGGATTGGCAAGTGTCAGAATAGAAAACCTTTGGGGGCACAGAAATGAGGAGGGTAAAGTTTTAGGAATTTTGCTATAACTGTTGTGTAGAGTTTTGGAGTGGGGTAGTAAGCTAGATTGCTTGATTTAATGGTCACTGGAAAATGAGGAAGGGGAGATAGACTGCTCTTAACTAGAGCATAAGAAGGGAAAGTAAGAGATTGGTTAACAGTTTGAGGGAGGCCTAGGGTCAGGCAAAGTTAAGAGGCTGAAGAGAAGGGGAGAATGGATATAAGGGCATGGTGGGAGGTGTTGGCCTTTCACTAGAAGGGGAGAGTGGGTAGAGGAGAGTTAGGCTGGATGTGGGGTAGCTGCCCGAGGGTCTGTTTTCTAGGTTATGAATGAGTCAAGGTTGTTTTTTGAGAGATCAGGGACCAAGCAGTTGAGTGGAGAAATTGGGAAAAATAGTTAAATTTGAAATAGTCATTGAGAGCAAAAGAGGGAGCTGACAAGTTAAAAATTGAGAACACAGGTATTAGAGCAATGCTGGAAACCCAGCTGAGGGTGATGATCATGTATTTGTAATTGTGCTGAGATTCTCCGATTTTTTTCAGTTGTGTGCAATTCACTGGCCTCAGGAGTTATGAAGGAAGACTGTGGCGTTGATTCAGGATTAATGTTTTGCTGAGCAGGTGCATTGGCAAGATAGGGGTGTAAGGGCATAGAGTGTCAAGGAGAAAGTGATATTTTAATAGATCTTAATTGATAAAGAGCTGTTTTGTGGGTAAAGAGGACTGGAAAGCCCACTTCAGTGAGAAACAAAAGCAAGTGTAAAGGCATGGAAGGAGTTGATTATGGTGTTTTGGGGTGTGGGATGTGTGGGGAGTGAGGATGAAGTAATGGGCAGTGGGGCTAGAGAGGTGGGTAGGATCAGAGTTTGAAATGTTTTGAAACCATTGCAAGGAATTTGGATTTTATTTTAGATTTAATGGGGAGCCATTGACTCTTCTTAAGTCAGGAAGTTACCATTTTTTTTCTTTTTAAACCAGTGGGTGACTAGTAATCATTTGTGTTTTAGAGGGAGAATTCTGGAGTACAAGAGAAAGGATACTGGAGTGGAAACAAGCCAAGGAGGGTGTGTGCCTCTAGTCCGGCAGTGCGGTGTGAATGGAGTGGCTAGGCTGCAGTCTTCAGAATAACATCCCTAATACTTGGACATTTTACCTGTTTCTTCTTCTTAAATTATTCTTAGTGTTTACCCTGGTGCCAGTTTAGTCTCCCAAAAAGCTCAGTTCTCTTTTACACCCTCATTGTCCCGAGGCTGAAACTTCTTAGTCTGGCATTAGCCCACCATTGCATGGTTCTTTGCTCTGTCTCCTCCCACCTCCCACCTCATTCCGTGAATGACGCCCTCAGTTTTCATGCTTTGGCCTGTGCTGCCTTCTGCCTAGTTGGGTCTTCCCTATTCCAGTCTTCATTCTATTGATTTTACATAGTCAATATTCATTGAGACTTATCTCAATTTATTGGGCTTATTTTTTTACTTGATTCTTTTTCAACTCTGCAATTTCCTTTTTAATGGGTTTTTAGTCTTTGCCAAAATTCTTATGTCTTTTATCCCCTTCAGTATAGAAAGCATAGTTAAGTATGACAAACTGTAGAAAGCACACATATTAAATATGATAAAAGAAGTCCTGTGGGCCTGTTGTTTTTGTGTATTGTTTCTCTTGGGTCTTTTTCCTATGTGTTATGGCTTATTTTTTAAACCTACACTAGATATATTTGGAAAGTTATTTGAAGAAATAACATGAGGCCTCGGGTGATATAAATCCTCTTGAAGTAGGATCATTAATGATCTAGGATGACTTGAACTCATTTCCAGGTATTAAGTTTTGTTTCCGTTCTGATTCATACATGTTCTTCTGGTATGTAGCTTTTGGGGATCCCAGTCCAAACTGGGTGGTTTATCAAGCCATCTTTCTTTTCCATGGATGGCCCAATATTCTTTTTTTTTTTTTTGATTATTTATTTATTTGAAAGAGAATGAGAGAGAGAGAGAGAGAGAGAGAGACAGAGAGCACGTGCACATGAGATGGGGGAGGGTCAGAGGGAGAAGCCGACTCCCTGCTGAGCAGGGAGCCCGATGTGGGACTCGATCTCAGGACTCCAGGATCATGACCTGAGCCGAAGGCAGTCGCTCAACCAACTGAGCCACCCAGGCGCCCCTGGCCCAATATTCTTTTTGTTTTTCTAGCTCCATTAAGCTGTCAAAAGGACCATCCACCCTCACAGCTGCTTTTGGAATTGGTAAATACCCTGGGAAGCAAGTGGCTGCACCTTGGGATTTCTGGCTTCTCCTGAAGTTTGGTTTGGTAATTCTTGTAATTGCTCCAAGCGTTCAAGCAGATGCCAGGTTTTTCTAGTTCTCAGCAGAAGGCTCAATCTGCATTACCTAGTTTGCCATCGCTATAAGTGGAAGTCCTCTTTCATCTGCAGGTTCTCTCTGTATTCCAGGTCTTAAGTCAGTTTCCATGAAAACTTTTCTTCTGAAACTGAGGTAATCTTTTCTCCCTTGAACTCTAATATAATACCTTTTTTGCTTTTACTTCTTTAAGAGCACTCACTGTTTTACAGCTCACATTTCAGTTACTAGGTTGAATGTTTTGTTCTATTAGACCATAAGCTCCCTGAAGATAAATATGTATTTATCTTTACATAGCTCACTGCCTTGTACATATTAGTTTCTTAGTTAAGTATTGAGAGGATCCCTTTGGGGAAGGCAATCGAGAGGACAGTCTACACTTTTGAGTCCATCTACTGTTTTAGAACTGCTAAGCAGGAAAACTGTAATGAGTAGCTGCCTTTATGATTTAAAATGAGAGATTAGAAATATAATGTGGTACTGTTTTACCTTTGTAGAGTTAATCAGGGCCAGTTTTAGTTGGTGCCTGCCTTATTGTACTAGAGTTTAGACACCTGGGTTTCATTGCTAGCTCTGAAACAATCTAAATGGATGAAAAATTGAGTGGCTAAAAGAACTGAAAAGCTCACGTGAATTAACGCACGAGGCCTGCCCCAGATCACGTGACCGTTTCGGTTACCGTCAGTATTTACTGATAGACCATGCAAGTTTTTGGTCTGTCCATATAATTCAACTGAATTTAGCCCCTTGTAAATCCAAGGATTAAAAAGAAAAGATTTGTTGCCCTTCTCCTAGTTGGGATGAAAGGGGATTGGAGGCACCCAGCAGAGGGTACCTATCTCTGATTGGGTTACCTCCTCCATAAGACCTACAGAGAGGAGTGGGATTCTACCTGCTTTATGTTATTTGAGGATACAGAATTTGTTAACAGTATATATTGTAAAATTTGTATCGTCTTGTATTTATCAATACAAAGTGATTGCTTCATAGAATATAATATTATCTGAACAGATTTCAACTTTGCATTCCTGATGTTTTTAAAGTAGCTATTGTGTTCTCTTTCTAGTTCTCTAACTTCATCCAGAAAGAAGAGGTTAACTTACTATAACTTCTGTTTAATAAATCCACAGTGATGCTTCCTGGTTAATCACTTATTTCTTGTCTAAACATCCTCAACTTACCTGTTTAATAATTCATTTTATTTTTATTGATCAGTTGTCAGATTTACTAATCTATAGTTTTTGTCATCCATTTTTTTCCAAAATCAGGGCATTTTCTGAGCAAGTCTTTTGGCAGCCTTCTTGTGTAAAATTTCTCAGAAATTACTTAACTGTGGTTGTGACTGTAAAATTTTTTCAGAACCTAGAGTTGTAACTTGTCGGGTGTTGAAATTTAAATGCCTCAGGTAGGTTACTTGCCCACTCTTAAAAAAATCTTATTATACCTATATCTGTTAGTAGACTTTGAATTCCCTGTGTTAAAATATGTTCTTTCTATAATATTTTCAATGTAGGAAATAAAGTCTTTGCTTTCACTTTTTGGAGGTCAGCTCATCAGTAGTCAGGAAACTTATGGAAAGGTAAGTTGAATTTATATTTTTCATTAGACTATGTGTAGTATATTTATAAGTAGAATCTTCGGGAAGAGAAAAATGGCAAATCTTAAATTTATATTTGTGTGGTTACTTGTTTCTGTTTCTCAGGGCAATTGAATAAAAAGGTTATTTTTGGAAAAAAGTTGTGGTTTTGGAATGTCATTTATTTCCAGTGTTCAATTAGTGTACTAGTTTTAATTTTTAACTCAACACTTGCACCACAATTGGTATCTGTCCCTTAATTGAAAAAAAGGGCTGTTTTGTGTTGATGAGGTATGATTAGAATTAAAATTTAGGATTTAGTGGAATTTCAGACTTACATTGGGAATTATTTAAGCATTTGAAATTGCAGATGTGTAAGATTGTGAATTTATGAACTTTGTATTTTGTATTTGACAGTTTATCAGTGTATTAGAGAAGTTTGGGAAGTAGAAAAAGTCATTCATAATTCTTCTTCCTTCATGTGACTTATAATTTGAGGGTACTGCCTTCCAGTCTTTTTCATATACTTTTTTTTCCCTTTAGTTCTAATACTACTTATGAACTTCTTCAGTCTCTTTTTCACTTGATAATATTAATATAGGCACATGTTGCTACATAGCCTTCATCACTAACAGGGTTGTATAATAATTTCTATTGATTAGTTCTATCATTATTTATCTAATGATCTCATTTCCTTCAGATTGCTTTTAAATTTTTCTAAAAAAAAATAATACTGAGATAACCATCTTTTTTCTGTTTGGATTATTTTGAAATTTTCTTTAGAGTAGTGTAAATAATGGAAGAAGAAAGACTCACAGGGAGGATTTCTTCCAGAAGATGAGAGAACTTAGTTGAAACAAGTCTGCTAAGGTTGGACTTGGACTCCTAATTGACTTTCATATACTGAGGGAGGAGAAAAAGAGGGAGAGTATAGATATAATTGGTTGAGGATGATGAACTGAGGTCAGGGTTCTGTTTTGTTTTTCTGTATTCTGGCAAGGGGCTATCTGGGTGGAGAAGAAAAGTTCCTGTAACAGGGGTGCCTGGGTGGCTTAGTCAGTTAAGCGACCAACTCTTGATTTCTGCTCAGGTCATGATCTCAGGGTTGGCAGATTGAGCCCCAAGTCTAGTTCCGCACTCAGTGTGGAGCTTGCTTAAGTCTCTCTCTCTCTCCTCCCACACCCATGCACACCTCTGCATGCTCTGTCTCTCAAAATAAGATAAGATAAAATAAATTGTAAAAAAGTGCCTATAATCTTGATGGTTGAGACAGAGGATTGGTAAACACCTCTGATGCACCTGAAACTTTTTCCTTAGATAAAATAATAAAAACTAATGATAATATAATATACCCTATTATTTTCCATCATAGTTATTTCAAAGAGTTCCTTTTCTACCCCTCAGGTGGCCACAACTACCTAAAAAAAGAGGGATCATTCAAAGAAATACATTACTTAGAAGTTAAAATAGCTGTATTATCAAGAATGATTATTAATAATAAAAAATTCTGAGATTATACTTTGGGGTAAAATATGCATTAATTATTTTGGTCAAAATACACAAGGCAGTCAATACAAAATTAATCTTAAGATTAACCTTATATTTGCTGATATTTGCATTTATGGTCATTTATAAAAGTGTTCTGATGTTGTACTCTATTATCCTAACAGGTTACCTATTAAAATTATTTTTTTTACTATTGGAGCAATTTTTATTTTGGTTAGAGTCAGATCAGGTATTCTTACATAAAAGTAACAAATAGGAATCTCTCCTTATTGACTTCTTGAATGGAAGCATATGAGGCCGTAAAACCAGTTACAAGTTGTATATTGTTATTTTTTTCAGTCTCCTTTTTGGATTCTTAGCATTCCCTCTGAAGATATTGCCAGAAACTTAATGAAACGAACAGTGTGTGCCAAGTAAGAGAAACTTACAGTGTTTTCCTGTAGATTATATACTGTACTTCTCATACTACTCTGTCCTTGTATATTGGCGGAGAATTAGAAGGGCTTAGTTGTTGTGGGGAGCTCACTTTAGCTTGCAGATACATGAATTTGCCACTGGGTGGTGGTGGTAGAACAGGGAGTTCTCTGCTGAAACTGAGGGTGAGGGAATCTTAGTGGTGAAATGCATAAACACTTCTTTTGGGGTAATTTTTTTAAACTTCTATATTAAGCAGGATTATGGTATAAGATGTAAATGCTGTTATTACATAGGATAAATGCCACATTTAATTATAACCAAAGTATTGAAAATCTAAAGATGTTTTTGTAGAGGGCTTTAGTTGGATGAGCAGATATGTGTGAAATGACAAAAAGTGCAGACTGCCATGAAATATGTTTTGCTGTTTTGTTAGAGAATGAAGTCCTGATTATCATATCTTGTGTGGATTACTGTAATGATGCTGTTCATAGTTTATCCTACCTGTTTTCTAGATTTTATCATTGCTATCTTTTTTTCATTTCTTCCTTCTTTCCCTCCCTCCTTTCTTTCTAATCTTTTAAGTTGAAACTTGCTAATGGGTTTCACTCTTCAGCAAAAATGACTATCAGACAGAAATATAACCGAAAAAAAAAGTCTCTTGAATAATCATTACTTTTGATTAGTGTATTAAAATTTATGGCTCTAAGAGTTATTTGATTTCAGCAGATAAGGCTTATTAGGTTTAAAATAGCTATTTGAGGACCAAGAACTTGTACACTTCCTTCAAACCTCGTATCTTTTCCTACATTTGCTTAATGGTATAATTAATAATTATGTAATGATTGTATAATATTATATAATTTCCTTGACTACTTTTTATTTTCTGTATATTTTGAATAGCTTAGGTTGGGTATACTGTCAGTGATAGCTAAGTAAGGGTGGTATTACTGTAGAGGTCCTCTGTCTATAAATTTAATAGAAAGCAAAGGCGGAATTCATTTTCAAATGATAAAACTCACAGTCCTAATTGTAGCATTAATTGTTTTGGAAATAAAATAGACTATTATAAGCATGGATTGAAAAGTAACTTAAAATTTTTTTTGTGGTAGACTAGGGACTGAAAGTTAATTTTGTTTTGTTGATTTATCTTTAAAATGGAATATCTTCAGCATACCACAAAAAGAGTGAAAAATATAATAAACCCCTACGTATCTACCTTGTTAGATCTCAACATTTTGAGATACTTGCCACAGTTGTCTTTAAAAAAAAAAAAAGTGGTTTACAGAAACCGTTGACTCTGTGCACCTTTCCCAATTCTGTTCCCCTCCGTCCCCAAAGGATAGTTTCTTAAAGAATTTTTGTCAAAAAAATTTCGTTATTACTTCCATAATCATTAAAATATTTGAGATTATTGTTGATTTTATATTAAGTTGATATCCATGCTTATTTATATAGCACCTATGAGAAATGTGACAGCCTATATAAGCTTTATAATCTCTAAATTATGGATCATAATAGTTAAGTCATATATATGAAAACTTTACTCTGAAAATCTAAATCATAAAAGATATTATTATAAATTAATGTTCCAATTATAGCTGAAGTTTTTGGTGTTGTATGCCTAATTTTTATTTTGACTATTTAAAATATAAATTTATTAATATATAAATTTCTGAAAAAGAGGATATGGAGTCATATTTTGTTGATTCTAGGTTATCATTACAAGCATTAGTTCCTATGTTATACTGTATAATAGTTCGTTAGGGATAATTATGATCCGTTAAACTGCCTTTCCCTGAATGGCCTGGGATTTCTCTTTTCTTTTTTCTTTTTTTTTAATTTTTGAGAAGCACTATATTATAGTGCATGTAGTCATGTGTGTCGTCTGGAGTCTGATGGATTGGAATTCTAGCTTCATTAATTACTATATGACCTGAAAGAGTCATTTTATCTCATTGTGCCTCAGTTTCCTCATTGGTTCAATTGGTGATGATACTGGAAGCTACCTCATAGGGCTCTTATGAGGAACAATTATGAATCCATATTAAATGGCTTAGAATAGTCCCTTGTACTTTGGTTATATAAAGTGTTAGCTTTTATTATTTTTGTTTTTTAAGGTTTTCCTTTTCCAGAGGTTGAGTTATATATGCTTTCCCTCAGCTTAAGCTTCCAGGAGTCTTCTCCCTTAGGTTTCATGAAGGCAGTGAGCTTTGTTCTGTTGTGTCTTAGTGCCTAGAATAATTTCTGGTATATAGTAATACTTAATAAATATTTGTTGAATAAATGAATTCATCAAGCTTATTATAATTTCTAAACATTAAGAAAAAATCCTGAATACATGGAATTTGGGGACATCTATTTTGAATAATTGTGTTTGTTGCTTTTTACTCTTTGTATATTTGTATAGCTGAGGTCACCCCTTTAGTGATGGCTAAATAAGAGTAGGATTACTATAAAGGCCCTTTTTCAATAAATTCAGTAGAAAGGAAAGGAAGATTTTCAAAGGATAATATTCTCAATCCTAATGGCAGCATTAATTACATTTATAAAGTAGTTTGAATTTAGATGCACAAAACTATGCTACTATGTAGATTTGGGTTCCATTATAATGAATTCTTGTTTGTAATGAAATTTGCTTGTAATTGTTTAAATGTTCCTTGAAATTGGTGGAAGCTTGAGGATTTTTTTTATAGTAAGAATTTTCTTTTTTTATAGTGGTTAGAAAAGTAACTAACAGCTACTAAATGTAGTAAGTAATAGCTAAATATTAATTGTAACATTTTTAGCTGGTCATTTTTGTTTTATGGAGAAGACAGTGGAAAAATTGGATTTGCGGCAGCTTGTCACCCATTTTACTAAAATAAATGATGTTACTGCATCATTTGTATTCTAGTATAAAAATATAATAATGAAGACTTGGAAAAGTCTTGACTTACGTTAAATTTCCTTCTGTGTAAAGTTAAACTTCTCTGTGATTTGGACTTATGTTTATTTTTAGGACACATTTCTCATTTATAGCTTAGAAAATATAGGCAATAATTGTGTAAGTGGAATAAGAATAAAGGACTAGGGAAGTAATTGTTACATATTACTGCATGAACTGGTTTCGTTACTGAGGTTAGTACTGATCATTTATTTTCTAGGTCCATATTTGAACTGTGGGGTCATGGAAAATCTCCGGAGGAGCTGTATAATTCTCTTAAAAACTACCCTGTGGAGCAGATGGTGCGTAGTGAAATGTGTTTTTTATAGGTATATCTACAGATACTGTAGAATTATGAAGCTTAAAATAATTTATTTGCTTTCATTTTAGGTTCCATTTCTGCATTCAGATTCTACATATAAAATAAGGATTCACACATTTAATAAAACCTTGACACAAGAAGAAAAAGTCAAACGAATAGGTGTAAGTGAATTTAGCAAACATGAAAAAACCTGTGAGAATAACGTGGTCTGCTGCTGTTGATACGGAATAATTCGCGATTCTGTTCAGTGTTTATTTGGTAGCCCTAATGCTGATACCAAACTTACAAGAGAGGTATTGTTATATAAGCCCTGTTTTTCCTTTAACATTCTGATGGGACATGAGAATCGCTTTTATTTTTTAGGCACTTGAGTTTCTGCCATTTGAAGGGAAAGTGAATTTAAAGAAGCCACAGCATATATTCTCTGTTTTGGAGGATTATGGTTTGGACCCAAACTGCATCCCTGAGAATCCACATAATATTTATTTTGGTAGATGGGTAAGCAAGTGTTCTTTTTACCGATTTCAGGTTGTTTCTTTAAAAGTTTAAGGTTAGGGCGCCTGGGTGGCTCTGTAATTAAGCGTCTGCCTTCGGCTCAGGTCATGATCCCAGGGTCCTGGGATCGAGCCCCGCATTGGGCTCCCTGCTCAGCGGGAAGCCTGCTTCTCCCTCTCCCCTCCCCCTGCTTGTGTTCCTGCTCTCGCTGTCTCTGTCTGTCAAATAAATAAATAAATAAATAAATAAATAAATAAATAAATAAATAAATCTTAAAAAAAAAAGTTTAATGTTAGACCTTTGTATAGGACTCTTTATATGTAGAATTCTAAGACAACTGAAGACTCAGAATTACTGTATGAATTAAAATGAGTGAAAATACGTGGTTCTGTGTTTTGTTTTGTTTGTTTTTCCAGAGATTCCTGGGAAGTGCAAGAGGCTTGCTAGATAATAGGGCCTAGGTAGGAGGTGGTGTACCAGGAAAAAAATAACATAAGACTTGTCAGAAAGTCTGGATTGCTTTTTAAGCAGAGAAAAGGCAGAGTGCTGTGGTAGTTGAGGGATCTAATTTGTGGAGTTCTTGAATCTGAGCTCATATTCTGAAAAGAAATAAAATTATTGCAGAGCAGTCCTGCTCACTTCCCTAAGGGTAATGGAAGCTGGGCTTATGTTACAGGTTATTGTTTTTAGGAGAAAAAAGAGGTGGGTAGAGTTTACTCACCACCAACCTCTGGAATTATTGCATTCAAATTCAATTCAAATTTAATTTGAAAGGTCACAATAAATTACAACACGCTAAAAAAAATACAAGGTATTTGTCCATAATTACCTCAATCACATTTTTTTTTAAAGGAACAAGTTTAGAGCAATGGTAAGTGGAAAGATGTTTTTATCATCAAGATACTCTGGTTTTATTGTGAATGGTTATCTTCAATCTGTTTTATACAGTTAAACTAATTTGAAGAATCTTTCATCTAGATTGCAGATGGACAGAGAGAGCTTATTGAGTCATACAGTGTCAAAAAGAGACACTTTATTGGAAATACAAGCATGGATGCTGGTTTATCATTTATCATGGCCAACCATGGAAAAGTGAAAGAAAATGATATAGTCTTTGATCCATTTGTTGGAACAGGTATTTTTATTTAACTGTTAAACTAGTGCATAGGTGTTACTTGTTTATATTAGTCAAGGTCATAGTAATGTTTTTGCTAGAAGATTAGTAAATTTGTACAGAATAATCTTAATTATCATGAGATAGTGGCTAAGAGACGACCACATATTTGTGTAATAGCCCAGTACGCAATACTTGTGCCACTTCAAGAATGATATGATTTAATTTTGTGGGCTTTTTCCCCAAGTAAACCACTAGGTGGAGGGGCATACCATACATTGCAATACTGTGTACTGTGGAAATGTTGTAAAGCTATACAGTTTATTTAAATAGGAAAACTTGGGTGGAAAAAAGGCTTGAGTGACAAGGTAAAAAAAACATGTTCATCATTTAACATTGATAACCATATACTTACATGGAAAAAAATGGGTAATATGTCTGATCTTTGATTTGGTTTGTAGAGGTTTATAAGTTAAGTGTGAAGATAAGGAAAGTGATGTAATTATCAACGGGCTAGAGCCTGGCTGCTGAGGCTGCAGTCTGTGTTTGTACACACTTGATTAGATGTCCTTGTAATTAACTTTGTGTAGAAGTCCTAAAATTCCACGTTTACCTCCTCTGATTCCATGAAGACATTTTCCTGCTTTGCCCCATTTTTTGCTGGATCTTACTCATACCTAGGGAGCATATTTAGGTTTGTCTGGCTAAATTAATTGTGATTCAGATTGTGTTGGAACAAATTGTGTTTGTGGTTGGAGTTTCTCCCTGTAGCTGTCCTTACCCATCAGAAACTTGGGAAGCAGCGTTGCCACAATAACTAACACTGTTGAACTAAAAAGAAAAAAACTTCCTGAGGAGATTATGGCACAGAGAGAGGTTATGTGACTTGGCCAAGGTTATACAGTGTGTAAATTTCATGAGATTCAAACTCAAGCAGTCTAACTCCAGAGCTCCTGCTCTTAACTACTATGCTAGAGCTGTCTCTTTCTGCATTAGGATCTGTCGGCCAGCTGTTATACCATATACTAACTTGAGGAATGTGACCACATGTGATTAGGAAGAAATAGTCAGAAATAGTCAGTCAGTCAAAAGACTTCTGATTGTTGGAATGATTTTCTGTGTTTGTTGTTGAATTAATCTGCTAGTGAGTTTCTCTTCTCCCACTCCACCAGTGTCTCCATATATCCCACACCCAATATTCGACCTATTTGTTTCTTTCCTATCCTCCTTATCCTTAGTGCCTCCTGCAACTTTTTAAACTTTTATTGGAAATAATGCCAAACTTATAGTTAAGATACAAGAATAAAAATAGAACAGAGAACACTTGCATGTACTTGACTCAGATTAAACTTGTTAACATTTGGCCTCATTTACTTTATCATTTGTTTTCTTTTTATGTTTATTTACATAATTTTGTTTTCTTTACCATTTGAAAGTAGGTTGCATCCATCCCGTCCCTTTACCTCTCAAATACTTCAATATATATATCTTAAGAATGAGGATATTCCCTTATATAACCACAGTACAGTTTTCAATGTTAGCAAATGTACTATTAATACAATACTTTAATGTTCATATGACATTTTTGTTAATTGACCCACTGATGTCCTTTATACCATCTTTTTTTCCTTTCCAGTCTAGCATCAAGTATTGTATTTTGTCATTGATGTTTCTTTGATTCATTTGATATGGAACAAGTCCACAGTCTTTCTTTTTCTTTTATGAAATTTGCACTTTTGGAGAACACTGTCCCTCCTCTCTTTATTTTTTATTCAGAATGTACCTCATTTGGGTCATTTATTTCCGCATGATTAGATTCAGGTTATACATTCCTGGCTGGACTACTACAACAGTGATTTTGTGTCCTCCTCAGGGCATCTGCATAATGGTTATCTGCCCCTCATTGGTAATATTCATTTTGATCAGCTGGTTAAGGTGGTGGGTGATTTTTCCATTCCATGATTGCTATTTTTTCCTCATTGCAGTTAATAGGCAGTCTGTGGGAAGACTAAGCAGGATGTAAATATCCTGTTCTGCATCTAAATTCCCCTTCAGCCCTGTCAAGTTCTCAGGTTTGGCATTCATTGATGATTCTTGCCTGAACCAGTCTTCACTTTGGTCACAAAGGGATGATTTTCCAATAATAGTACTCCCTCCACAATTACCACTTGACACTCATTCTATTATAACCAAGAGCCCTTTTTTCTCTCCTATGTATTTATTATCAATATAAGCTTGTGAATTCCCCCTTTTTTCCCCTGAGTGGTCTATAATTCATTACTTAATTATTTGTTGCTCAAATTGTCCCACGTTTGCCAAGTGGAGCCCTTTCGCACTGGATCTGTCTTTGTGACCTGTTCCTGTCTTTTATTTTTGAGGACTTTCTTACTTTCTCGCTCATCTTTTACCTGCCCAAACCCTGGAATCAGTCATTTCTCCAAGGAACCATTGTTTCTTTAGTGGGGAATGGTATTAGAGACCAAGATCTGGGTGCTAGGTATCTTTATTTCTCGACCCTTTCAGCAGATAAGCTAGGACATTTATGTGCATATGTGCACAATATGCATGTAAATGTGAATGCACGTACACATATCCCTATATATGTACTGTGTGCACATGCATGTGGATATACACAGATATTGTAGAAATTGTGAATTTTCATATATACTACAAATTCTAGTCTATCCTGACAGATTTTGTTCTTGCTTATCCCCATTCCATTTTTACATGTGCCTTCTTCCACATTGAGAATCCTGTTTTCCTTAACCATCTACGCATTTATTCTTTTGCTCATTCCTATAATACCTTTAAAATAGTTTCAAAATTGCTTTGCACTTACCACCAAAAGGAAAGCAAAACAATACAAAAACTCTATTAAAAGGATATGTTTTAAGGCTATGTATTGAGTTCTCTACCCCACCTAAAGGGCAATAAAGTCAAATATGTCAAATATTGTGCTTTCTTCTTTTTCCCCCTCATTTAAAAATCAGTTCAGAGTTCATTTTTTTCAGTTTGCCTTCAGTTTTAGACTTTTACCTCCTTCCATCCTCGTTGATATATTTTTAAATATGTAGAAGATCAGTTTGCTTCCAAAAGTCAACTGTACAAGAGGTATACTTAAACAAATATCACTCCTTTCCATATCGCTTCCATCCTCCTCCCCCATCCCTTTTCAATAACCAGCTTCTTTTTTAGTTGATTCTTCTTGTTTGTGTTTTTTTTGTAGTGATAGGCAGATATATGTACATTTTATTTCTACTTCTTTCTTACACCACTTTACTTTTCTCACTTAATAGTTTTTCCTGAAAATCACTTTCTGTTAATTCATAGGTATTGTCTTCATTCTTTTTATAGTTGTAGTCCATGGGTGTATATACTATAATTTATTCAAACAGTCTCCTATACTTGGACATGGGTAGTGTCCAGTATTTTAGAGTTACAAATAATGCCTGCAATGGATAATCTTTTGTATATATACTTGCATAACATTGGAGATACGGCTCTAGGGTAAATTCTTAAAAGTAGAATTGCTGGTTGAAGAATGTAGGTATATTGTTAAACCTTGCTTTACCAGGAGAGTTTATTGTCAAGGTTTTGAAATGTTGCCAGTCTGTTGGATGAAAACATTATCTCAGTGTAGTGTTATTTTGTATTTCTCTTATTATAAGTGAAGTCTAATAACCTTTTATATATATATATTTAACATATAATGTATTTATTTCAGGGGTACAGGTCTGTGATTCATGAGTCTTGTGTAATACCCAGTGCTCATTACAACATACTCTCCCCAGTGTCCATTACCCAGTTAACCCATCCTCCCACCCCCCTCCCCGCCAGCAACCACCAGTTTGTTTCCTATGATTAAGAGTCTGTTATGGTTTAAGAGTCTCCCTCTCTGGTTTCATCTTGTTTCATTTTTTTCTTCTCTTCCCCTATGATCCTCTGCCTTGTTTCTTAAATTCTGCATATCAGTGAGGTCATATGATAATTGTCTTTCTCTGATCGACTTATTTTGTTTAGCATAATACCCTCTAGTTCCATCCACATCGTTGCAACCTTTTATATTTTAAGGGCCATTTTAATAATTTTTTTGGAAATATTTTTCATGTCTTTTGCCCATTTTTATGTAGACATTTCTTTATTTTTGGAAGTACTTTGTATGTTAGGGAATTAGCTCTCCCTCTCTTCCTTTTTTTTTTAATGTATGTGAAGATGTGTACATATGTATATTACATGTGTGCATATGTGTGTATATATGTATATATACACATAAAAAAACAAATATTTCCTCCCAGTTTGCCATTTAGTTTTTGACTTTGCAAACAGTTGCTTTTTGCCATGCAAAAGTTTTCCCTACATCTAAGTTATAGAGGTATCTAGCTATGTTATTCTTCTAGTACGTTTATAGTTTTAGTTTTGTTTCCTTTCGATCTCGGTCTGTTTGGAGTTTTTTTTTTTTAATTATTATTATTTTTTATTATGCTCAATTAGCCAGCATATAGTACATCATTAGTTTTTGATGTAGTGTTCCAACGATTCATCAGTTGCGTATAATACCCAGTGCTCATCACCACACATGCCCTCCTTAATATCCATCACCCAGTTGCCCCATCCTCCCACCCCCCTCCCTTCTGTAGCCCTCAGTTTGGTTCCTGGAGTCCAGAGTCTCTCATGGTTTGTCTCCCTCTCTGATTTCTTATATGCTGTGAGGAATGGATCTATAATTTCTCTTTTTACCAAATGCTGAACCTTTTATTAATCCTTAATTTGTTCTTGGACTTTAAAAATTTTTTCTGTGAAGTGAGAATTCTTTGATAAACATACAGGTACATAATCTTAATATGTACACATACATGTAGACAAGACTATAAAGTCTAAAAATAGAGTTCCTAGCATAGGTAAAATTTCTTTCCCTTGATGTATATGAGGTTGGTTGTATTATGAAATGCTAACTGCCACAGCAATCAAAATATTGATAACCTTCAGTGTGAGTAAAGGGCAAGGAGGCTTGCCCCTAATTTGCTTTAGAGCAGCTCCTTAGAGTGGGTAGTAGATCATGGTCTTGTGACTGTTTACGTAGGACAATTAATTGAAAATTGCTAAGAAGAAGATCTTTGCAAAGATGCTGCTAAAATATATTTTTATAATTTGTAGTTTAAGCATAGCTTTAGAACTTTAGTTTTTGGTGCTTTTGTTTTGAGATTGGTGATATAATTGTGAATAGACACAATTTTAATGTATGGTTTGTCCTTTTTCTTGGGCCTTTTGTCTCACTGATGGGTAGTACCTTCTGAAGGATTGGGGAAATACTAACCTTGTGCCCTCCTCCATGGCCATAGTTTTTCAACAAATATTTTTGATAGTATTTTTTCCTTGTTTCCTTTTCTAATATTTAAAAACAAAGTCAAGTATATCCAATCCTTTTCCATTTTAAAGGCACAAAATTGAAGTATATTAGTTTCCCAAATGTTTTATCCACTGACTTCTCATGACCTGTGATTTTCTCAAGGTTATAGGATAGAGTAGAAAGCTTCTGGGACACTGAGAGGAGAGATGTAATCTTTTCCTGCCTAAATGCCTTTCCTTTTTCTTTAGACAGTCTGCTATTGTCTAGAATGACATTATGAGCTGTAGAAACATAACTTTCCTTTCCATTTTAGTGAATACATTGGTTTTCATTTTAATAAGATTTTTAAAAAAGTTGCTTATCTCCATTTTTTTTTCCGAGGGAGAAGATACCTATCATTGGGCCAGCTCTAAGTAGTTAGGAAGTCCTAGTGTTCTAATATGAGCATGGCTAAAGGATTGATGAACATGATATGTTGAATACCTATAATGGTACAGGCCTGCCTATGATATACAAGAGTTGTGAATGGTGTGCAACTCTTATTGAATGTGCAGCTTTACTTAATTTAATAACAAATTTTACTTGTTTATCTCATTGGTAAGCTAAGTGTATATTTATTTCAGTTGATGCTGACCCCAAAGGAGAGAGAATGGTATAGAGAAAAGAACAAATAGAGTGAGTTTTAAATCCTTAATCTATTAGTTATTATGTCACTTTGGGCAACATTCTCAACTTGTCTGGGCCTCAGTTCCAGCATTGATAAAATGGTAATAGTAATATATTGTGAGGATTAAGTGAGGTAATATATGTATATGAAATTCTTAGGAAGTTGCCTGACACATGGTAGACATTCTGTAGACTGTAATGAATATCATTATTATTTTGTTAGGAACTTAGATGCCTTTTTGGTGAAAGATGTTAGATATAGCCAATATTGAATGGTGATGATGAACAATTTGGCAATGAACTCATTTTCTAGTCCCTTCTTTGGCTGATTTCCAAGATACTCATAATTTGCAACTGTTGGCAAATTGTGACAGCAGGCAAGGAAATCGAGGGTTAAAATTGTAAACATCTAATTCTTTGTTTATAATGAAAATAATTGGTACAAGTAGACACATAGCCAGTTGCTGTAGGTAGCTGTGATATGATTTTATGACAGAGGTCCATAGATATTCCTTTTCTTCTTCCCCTCTCTAAAGTGAGTCAGCTATTTTAGTAATTGAGGATATATCCAGGAGACCATTATACACTCCTTGGCTGATTCTACCTTTAGATGAGCCATAGTGTAAGGAAAAGAGTGCGGCTCCTTTTGAATTTTACCATCGCAGAATGATAGACAAAGGTGTCAGGTGTTGGGAAACTGACTGTGCTGGTCCTGGGAGGAGACTGTGGGGGAGGAAAAGAGGCAATTAGGAGAGAGATAATTGATCTCTGAGGTCTGTGGAATAGTTTCTGCTTCCTTCCCATTTTTGTCCACAACTCTTTGTAGTCTCCTTTTCCTGAGTTTCATAGTTTATCTGGTAAAATTTCTATTACAGTATCCTTTTGCTCAGGCCGCTAGTGTAACTTACCTGAGTTCATTTGGAAAAAGGATAAAGTAGATACAGTAGTCCATTTTTCCTCCTTTTGTCCTCTCCTTTCAGCAAAACCAAAGCCCACTCTCTCATTTCTACACTTCTGTAAGGCTTTTCACTTAAATCTCTAATGATGAAAATCACAAATTAGTTTCTATATTGTAAATAAATTCCACTTATTGTGTCCTTTTGCCTATAAGATATTGCCCTAACCTTAAAGTGGTTACTATTTAAGTAAGGAGAAATTAGAACACTGAGTTTGTGGTATTTGTACACTTGATAGCATAGAAATTGGGTGAGTCACATTACCTGCCCCTTACCACTTCACCCCTCCTTTATCACCTCTTCTTCCACCAGATTCAGGGAAACTCCAACTGAGGTATAACTAAATGCAAAAAATGCTTCAATTTAATTGAGAAAACAACTAGATGATTAACAGCGATTAGCCAGTGATCAGTTCAGAAAAGCTAATTTATAATGACTTTATTTAAAACTTTGAAAGCTTAAAGGGGACAAAGTTAACTAACAGATGTAGTCTAACAGATTATTCATCTCCTTTCAGCAGTGTACTCTAAATTGGGTCTTCTCAAAACTCATTCTAACCAAATGGATAAGGTTCTGTTTAAGGAAGCACAGGAAAGCTTTTCTGTTCCCCTTGACAACTAGTTCTTCTAGGTGAGTATCTGCCTTAATTGGCAGAATTGTAGTAATTCCTCGTAATTTGGGTGAAGTGATTTTGTGAGTATTCCAAGTCATCACAATACAGTATCTTTCTTAAATATGGATGGTTCCATTTATAGAACAAGACTAATAGGGTCTTACTTAGCTTCCCTCTCACACAAATGCTTCTTGAAGTTAGTATGAGGGAACTTAGGTTTTGGTTTCTGCTGTACTTTTTTTAGTCCTCCATTCTCTTCTTCATGGACTCCAGTAGTAATAGTCAGTTACAGTATTTTTCACAAAGTCTATTTATTTAAGTGCATGTTCCCAGACTGTGTTTTAAATGGCTATGGAAGGAATACTATTAATTTATAGCTCTTGGCCCTCTGGAGGCACTACCCATCTTAATTTTAGAGATTACCTTTGAGAAGGATATAAGGGAAAATATATAGTTATTTTCCCTTGTCTGAGTCTGTGCATAGTTTGAGAATAAATTTCTGATGTCCGTTTGACTGACAGACCTTTCTATGGTATAGCTATTAGGACTAAGAGCATTTTAATTTGGATGAATAAAAAAAGTAAAGTTCAATGGAAAGCACAATTATTAAAATAACTTTGTGATTTTTTCCTTAAACAATTTAAAAATATTATTACCTTTTATTTTAAAGGGTTTTATTAAATTTTAAATATTTATTAGGACTTTTCTTTGTATGTGAGCTGGGCACAGCTACCAAGTTCCTTCATCCAGTCAGACTGTATTGGGACTTTTGTTCTTACTTCGATCACAGCACTAAGTAAACAGAAAAGTCATTGTATTATTTTTGTGTATGCTTAATAATAGTTATTCAGAAATTCATATTTACAGTTTAAAATAAGAGGTAATTGCTTCGCTGGTTACAGGAATAACTATTTCTTGTCCTAATATTTTAATTTTTGTACGGATTAATGTCTTACATATTAATTATGCCCTCTTAAGTTATTTGAAACTCAGGCTTCCATGGGAATTGAGCCCAGTTGTCAGAATTTATTTATTGCTAACTCTTTTTCATAGTAGCTTTATATGCTCATTTGTAAGTAAGGAGCAAGATGCTTTGTATAGACCTCTCAAAATCAGATGAAAATGTCTAAATATACATTATTTTGATTAAAAAAAAGTTATTTTCCTGTTTAAAGTCGTGATGCTAGTACATACATTAATTCCTTACATTGTGACCAATGTAGTGAGCACAGCTTAGGGGTTTAATTCTGAGGCCTGCAAAATATGGTCAGGACCAGTGTTACTACTCTCTGGTACTCTGCCTACAGCTAGTTTATAAGACTTTGGATCAGATTAAAGAGAGGAAGAAACAAGAGTCTGGGACTTTCTGGTTAACAGACCATAACTGTGTGATTTTTTTTCAGGTGGCCTTCTGATAGCGTCTGCTCATTTTGGTGCATATGTATATGGGACAGACATAGACTACAATACAGTTCATGGCTTGGGTGAGTAGAGGTTCTAGACTGTTACAGTCTTTGTTCTTGTACCAGGTGTGCCTTCGAAATAGTTAAATGGGTTTATGTGGCATTATGCATCTTTCTTTAGTGTTAAGATACAAAGTTGTGATAAAATGTAGTTTTATCTATTCTTACAAACAATAAGATTCGTCGGATATCTGCTTTTTACAAAGTGATTCAGTATGTGCACGGTGATCTCCTGGGGGAACACAAAGATGAAAAAGAAAAAGCTCTCCCCACAGTCTTAGTAACAGAGATTTTTAAAAAGTTGGCAAACTCCAAGGTTGTGAACTTTAGGCCTGGGAAGGAAGTAGGAGAGGGACTAGCCATCTTCCAATAAGCATGTCCATGTTAATAAAACACATATACGGTTTCTATTTAAAGATTATCACCATTTTTTATTCATAATCATATGTTGCATGAATACTGGATTAATTTTTAGTCCTTGAGTACCATATTGTTTTTAATTACATAACCAACCAAAATCACCATTTTTTATTCATAATCATATGTTGCATGAATACTGGATTAATTTTTAGTCCTTGAGTACCATATTGTTTTTAATTACATAACCAACCAAAATATCTTTGAAGCAGTTAAAGTGACAGTAACTTAGAAGATTCTGCATTAGACTCAGGTTAACTCAAGACAAACATTTGCTTGTTTTGGAGGCAATTTTGGAAACTATTTTAAAATCTAGACACTTTGCTAATGATACATGATTGGATGGAATTGAATCAAACTGAAGAAAGTATTTCCATATACCTGAATGGTACTAAAAATGTCAAGTTTCATTGATGATTTTGAAATTCTGTTTATGGTGGTATTCCATTATTGTAACTAGAATCAGCCCTTTGAACACCCTTCTTCTTTTTACCACCCAGTTTTTCTCAAGTTATTGTATTGGTGAGAATTTATTATACCTTTTTTTTTTTTTCCTGAAACAATCTGACATACTGTGCTTGATGACTTCTCTTTTTTCCTACCTTGACTCTAAGGAATTTAGTAATATTTATCATAAGGAGAATTGGTTATATTTTAGCAAGTTCAACCTAAATGGGCTAAGCAGAAAAAGATATTCTTGGGAATATGTTAGAGCAAAGTACTAAGAAGAATTATTCCAGTTTGCTTTTAGTAGAAGCAGTATGTTTGCTTTAAGGAGATTGTCCTATATAATTTATTAGAATTCTTATTTATGAAAGTTATGTTATAACCTTTCAGTCTACTTGGGTAAAATTCTGATTGAGGTAGAATTTTCTCAGAGCTTTTCCAAGATGCTGTTAAATATGCCCTCTGTTTCATATGCTTGTAATTTCTTTCTGTACTCTCAAATATTCTCAAAAATCTCCTGTTTTAAAAATACAAAACCTTTCCTATCAATCCTATAGGGACCCTCTAACTGCCACTTTGTTTTCCTTTCCTTTTGCCAAAGTGCATCTTGCAAACTAATATTGCTGTCTCTTCATCTCTCACTGTCTTCTGTCCATTATCTTCTAGCTTCCATGCCTGCTGAAAACTCTTAGTAGGGCCACAAATCTATAGCATTTGGCAGTGTTGACCTTCGTAAAGCCTCCCTTGGTTTCCTGGACCGTGGCCTCATTGGTACTTTTACTTTCTTGGCTTTCCATCTCCATCTTCTTAAGGCCCTGTGGATTTCTTTGACCTGTGCTGACATGTTGCTTTTTTCCAGGCATCTCTCTTTGACCACTTCTCTCACAATGCATGTTATGCAGAGTCATGTCATTCTTCTTTTGATTTTTTAAGTTTCGTTTTTATTGTGAAGTAGATCAAGATACAGAAGAGTATATAAAAATAGAATAATTATAGAAGAAAACATGTAACTGCCACCTAGGTTAATAAAAAATGTCATTCATTCTTATGGATTTAACTTAAGTGCATATCTGATATCTCCTCGGTATATATATTCTGGCCTCTACCCACTGAATAGCTCTTTCTGAATGTTCTATAGGTAGCTGACCAGCATGATCTCATATCTCATTTTTTCCCCTAAGCTTGTTTTTCCTCTTGGTTTCTCTGATTTTTTTTTTTTTTTGAGAGAAGGCAGGTAGGGGCAGAGGGGGAGAGAGAATTTAAGCAGGCTCCATGCTAAGCGTGGAGCCCAGTGGTGGGCTCGATCTCACATCCCTGAGATCATGACCTGAGCTGAAATCAAGAGTTGGATGCTTGACCAACTGAGCTACCCAGGCACCCTGGTTTCTCTGATCTTAATCAACGGTCTCCTAAACCAGAACTTTTGAACTTCTTCCTTCAACTCCCACTTTAACTTTTCATCTGTAATGTCTCCATTTGGCCTCCTCTCTCCATGGTCATAACACTCCTTCATTTCCCAAGTTAGCTCTCTTCATTTCTGTTTCATTTATTTGATTCATCCCAATTTTATATGGGGCTATTTGCTCTTGGAGGAAAGGGGCCATGTTCTATACAGCTTTGTATCTTACTTGTATATGCTTTCAATTCGGTATGTGTTGAATGAGTGTTTAAGGCAGTTTTACTTGAAAGGTGACAGAACAAGATCAGTTAGTACATTTTACTATTCAAAATATATTTTTGTAGTAAGTTGAAATAAAAATAACTGTGTAAATAAAGTAATGATTTTAAATGAAATCAAGTTTTATTTGAGTAAATGTAGGTTTAGATGAGTTAAACATTATTTTAGCTAAACAATAAGAAATAAGAATGCTCTATTTGATTTAGTAGTTTCTGTATTCCTTTTTCTTTCCCTTTAGGAAAGGCTAGTAGGAAAAACCAGAAATGGAGAGGACCAGATGAAAACATTAGGGCAAATCTTCGTCAATATGGTTTAGAGAAGTATTACCTTGATGTCCTGGTTTCAGATGCATCTAAACCTTCCTGGAGGAAGGGCACATATTTTGATGCAATCATCACTGATCGTAAGTTTATTTTTATACAAAAGTAAGAGTAGGATTAGTTTCCTGAAGTCATTTACATTTAAAGTAGAAAATCTATCAACACACAGAAAAATGCCAGCTTGTTTTAGTATTCTCCCCCTGCCCCCAGACTTCTTCACATAGTGAGAAGGAAAAAATTGTGAATATAAGGCAGGACACCAATTCAACTAAGTAGTTAAGAGTTTACTGTTTTCGTTTTTTAAATTATATATGTTAATCTGTCTTTCCTTTTTCTCTTCAGTTTATTTTTGGAGCATATATTTGTTTTAAATTTTTAACTATAATTGGTTATTAGTATACCAACTGGAGCCAAAATGTCATTTGCAATTAGTGTCAGATGTCAAAGAAGAGAGTTTTAATTTTTTTTACAGATTTATTTATTTGAGAAAGCATGTGCCCGCCCCCTCTTCCCCTGGGGAAGAGGGGCAGACGGAGAGTATCTTCAAGCAGACTACCCACTGAGCATGGAGCCCAACATGGGGCTCAGTCCCACAACCATGATATCATGACCTGAGCTGAAACCAAGAGTCGGACGCTCAACTGATTGAGCCACCCAGGTGCCCCAAAGAAGAGAGTTTTAGATATCACATAATTCTCCATGTGTAAGCTTTGGTGTTTTGTTTTGTTTTTTTGTAGCACGTGTTTTCACTGACAGCCCCTTTCTAGAGTTACAAGAAATTTGGGATTTTTTGAGCCAATAGGCTTGTGAACCCACTGAGCTTCAGGAATGTGAATGAGAACTTGTTTTCCTGTGCCCCATGAGTTCTGGGCTTTGCAGGCATCCTATCTAAGAATAGTTCAGCCTTTTCTACCATATTTTGCAGTAAGTCTGTAAATAGTGGCAAGTGTATCTCAACCGTTCCATCTTAGCTCACTTCAGTTCTTTGGTAACTCAGGTGGTTTCAGACCTAACAAAAGAAAAATTATCAAGGCATTACACTGTCAGTTTGAATCTACTTTATAAAAATTGGGTGACTTTTTATTAACAATCCAATTTATTGTTTGTTCTCATTCTGTATGTATATTTATATAAAGTATAATTTTTTTTTAATCCATTGAGAGTGAGTTGGATACACTATGGTCTTTTACCCCTATACTTCAGTGTGTACAATAGAGATAGTCTCTTAGGTAGCCAGAGTACAGTTAACATTTTCAATAAGTCAATGCAATAGTTTAATTTTGTCATCCACTTTTGTCAGTCACCCAGTAATATCCCTTTATTTCTTTGTTTTTCCCTCTGGGACAGTATCCAATCTGGTGTCAGGTATTACATTTGGTAATATCTCTTTTAGTTTGTCACACTGTCACAGCCTTTCTCTGTCTTTTTATGACATTGGCATTTTTCAAGAACATGGTGGCCTGTTGTCCCTCCCAGTGTTTTAAATAGAATGTTCCTTGTGTTATGCATTCTCGGCTGGAATATTTCACAGGTAGCGATGTGTTCCTCTCCAAGTGTCCCATCTGGAGGCCCATGATATCCATCTACACCTAACTGGTGATGAGGTGACTTTTGACTCTCCACATTATTTGTGTTTTCTGTCTAGCTCCATATGGTATCAGAGAATCTACAAGAAGAACAGGTTCTCAGAAGGAAATACCAAAGGGAATGGAAAAATGGTAAGTGAAAGTTAAATATGATATGTTACTATTTTGAGAAGAAGCATGTTGTTCTTTTTAATTAGCTGTTTAACAGTCTTAAGGTTTTTCACTGATTTTGAAATTTTGTTTTCTTTTTCTAGTCCAGAAAGCCATGTTCCTGTTTCCTTGAGTTATCATCTGAGTGATATGTTCTTTGACCTGTTAAACTTTGCAGCTGAGACCCTCGTGTTAGGTGGAAGACTAGTCTATTGGTTACCAGTGTACACACCAGAGTATGTAATGTTAACTAATTTTATTTTTAATTTCACTTTTGTTATGGTATTTGTAAATCTAACGTTTTTTCCCTATTTTTAATTGGATTCAGGGTAAATATCTTGGTGTTTAATGTTTATAATAGTCTTTGTTTACCTACATATGTGTATAAAACAGGCCCCTTCCTCTTATTGATTGAATTGCTTTGACCTTTTTATTTTACATCAGGAGTTGGCAAACTATAGCCTGTGGGCCAGATATGGTCCTCACCTGTTTTTATAAGGCACTTGAGCTAAGATGGGTTGAGCTAAGATGGTTTTTTACATTTTTAAATAGTCGTTAAAAAGAACAAAACAAAGAACATGTGACAGAAATATATGAATTTAGTTGAGGGATTCATCTGCTCCAAGCTAGCTTTAACATATATTGGCTATTATGATCGCCTTAAATGCAATAAATCTTTTTTAAAAGCTAACACCAAAATAAAAGCTGTGCTTGTATTTAAAGCCCTGATTATTTTCCACATTGTTGGTTTGGGTTTTATTATTCAGTAATTATTAATTATAAGCAGAGCTGTGTACATCAACAATGAAACACAAGATGTCTTGAATAAGACAGGATCTTTAAATTTGAAAGAAAATTTAATATCAAGCTCAAAATTTGGCTGTTTCTCTAATCTGCCATAGTAATCTTTTTAAAAATTGTTTTAGTTCCTATATTTACTATACATAATTGTACAGAAAGCATTTTAAAACAGTGTTACTATCTTTACAAAATGGGGATGGTCCTCAGCAGTTGGAAGCTGTGCTGTTTTTTGTTTTATAAATGTTGTGTTGGAAGTTACCACGGCCTGACTTTAGTCACGCATTTGTTTATCAGCTGATAAGAGTGTACGCATTCATGCCCAGGCTCCTTAATACTGGCCTTATGTTTTGCTGCTAGTGATAATCTCATTTAATCTTTTCACTTTAGAAATAAGGAAAATAAATTCCAAGGAGTGAAGTGACTTGTCTACAGTTAATAGCTAGCTAGCTGTTTGGTTTCCTTATTCCTGTGGCTGTGTTCACTTAATTCAGCAGTCTGCCAGATCTCAGGTGCCTGGTATGTGAAGTGATAGATGGAGTTTTACTAATATTTTTGGAGAAGATCACTTTTGTTTGTTTCTATACAAAAATGGTTCCTGCCTTAGACAAGCTGAATTCCAGCAGCAAGCTTACTGTTTTTTTTAAGATTTATTTATTTGAGAGAGAAAGTGTGCACGTACACACGTGCATGCAGAGTGGGGAAGGGGTCGAGGAGAGGGAGAGAGAGAATCCCAGGCAGACTCCCCACTGAGCTTGCAGCCTGATGCAGGGCTGGACCCCATGACCCCAAGATCACTGAGCCGAAACCAAGAGTTGGACACTCAACCAACTGAGCCTCCCAGGTGTCCCCCTACCCTGTTTTTTTAATTAAAGATTTATTTATTTATTTGAGAGAGAAAGAGAAGCTTACTGTTTTAACTCAAGTTTCAGGACTAAATTTTTAAAAAATTTACTTTGAGGTAATTTCAGACTTACCTAAAAGTTTCAAATGTAACACGAAAAACTCTCCTCATCCAGATTTTCCAACTATTAATATACACGTATTGTATCTTCTTTCCTTACCCATTACATTAATCACATACCCATTATCAATTCATCTTTTTTGGAACTATTTGTGAAGTTGCAGATAATGATTCCCCATAACCCCTACATACTTCATTATATTTCTCAGAAATAAGAACATTCTTGTCAAACCACAATCAACCCTCTAAGTTTGGAAATCAGCATTGATAACACTGCTGTCCATTTTATGGACCCTATTCAAATTTTACCAGTAGCGGTCCATCTGAGAAAATGTGCTCTATTAACCCATCATGTCGTTCTCCTCCAGTCTGGAATATGTCTCCATTCTTTTCTTATCTTTTGTGTCGTTGACAGTTTTGTAGAGTATATGGCTTATGTTAAAGGTTGACCTTCAATCAGGGTCCATCTGATGTTTTTGTTTTTGTTTTTTTTAGAGAGGGAGGTGGCAAGGAGGGTCAGAGAGAAAATTGATGTTTCTTTTATGACCAGATTTAGGTAGTGCCCTTGGTAGGAACACCACAAAAATTATACTGTGTTTTTCATGCATTGCATCATGGGGCACATGGAGTTAACCCCTACTAGCGATCTGAAACTTGATCATCTGATCATTTTGTTCTCTGTTAGGGTTCTCCACTGTGAGCCATCATTTTCTCCTTTGATTAGTATTTCATGGGGGAGATATCCCAAGATTACATCAGTATCTTGTTCTTCATCAAATCACTATTCACATTGACAACTCCATTGTTGACAACCACTACAATGATGGCTTTTGTGTTCCATTATTCCTTCTGCATTTGTAAGTTGGCATCCTACTGTAAGGAAGAGTTTTCCCTTCTTTCCCCATTTGTTTACAAATTTTCCCCATTTGTTTACAAATTTATTAATTTATTTTGCTATGGAATCATGGATGCTTATATTATTCATTGGGTTGTAATTCATTACTGTCACTATTTTGTTGCTCAAATTGTCTCAGATTTGATCAGTGGGAGTCAATTTGAGGTGGTTCCTCTGTCCTTTTGAAATATCCCCATTAGTTTTTGTGTACTTCTTATTTTTTGGCATTTCTGACTGTCCACTATTTTGTACTTTATTATTTAATTATAATTAAAGTTGAATGTACTTAAGAATATCTTTCGTAGTTCTTTTGTTTTTTTCCTTTCTCTTTATACAAAATTAAATTGGAGGTACTTTTAAGTATTTTTTTTTTTTTAAAGATTATTTATTTATTTATTTATTTATTTGAGACAGAGAGAATGAGAGAGAGAGAGAGCACATGAGAGGGGGGAGGGTCAGAGGCAGAAGCAGGCTCCCTGCCGAGCAGGGAGCCCGATGCGGGACTCGATCCCGGGACTCCAGGATCATGACCTGAGCCGAAGGCAGTTGCTTAACCAACTGAGCCACCCAGGCGCCCTACTTTTAAGTATTTTTAATATTTCTAAAGATCTTACAAAATGGACACTGGATATTTTTTCAGTGACTTCTTGATTTTAATAATTTTCAACAAGGGAAAATTTCCAAATGCATATTATCAGAGGGATATTTTAGAAGTAGAGAAGGGATACATGTTTTTACCACCTTTTTTACCTTAGATGTTTACAAAGGGAAAGATTTCGTCCAGGTATGTGGCTAACGCACACATGGGAAGACTATGATATTTACTTCCCTGACTTCATCCCTGGAGAAAGTTATGTCCACGTCCTCTGATGTTCATTACTAGACTTCTGTTTTTCCTTCCCTTTTTTTTTTTTTTGGTTTATACTTTTATTTGCATTTATTTTATGCAGAATTTACTCCTAGGCAGTAAATTTTTGTTTCTGCAGTTTCTTCTGGGGTATCTTTTTCTTCTGTGCAACCTCCTCTTCTGGTTTAGAAACAGTCTACTCTTTTCCAGTCAGGATCCTCTCAGGGTGGCAGGAAGAGCTCACGTATAGGTTAATCTGACCATGAGCCCTGTACGTTCTATGTCACATCTTGGGGGCTTTGTTCACCTGGATGTGCTTAATGACCAGAAAATCTACATCCAGACCCTTAAATTTGGCATTACTCTCTGCATTTGTAAGCATGTGCAGTAAAAATTCAGCACTCTTTTTGGGCCACCAACTCTTCGGCCCGGGCACACCTACCACCTCCACCAGTGTAGAGATAAAATGGCTTCTGCAGTGTGACAGCCTTCAGATACTTGGTGGCTTTTCAGATATGCATTGCCTTGACGGCGTGGGCAGTTTCATTTGTGTTCTTAAAGTGAACGCGAAGATTTGAACCTCTTGATTTGCATGATTTTGTAGGGTTTTTCTGGGTCAAGTGAATAGCAAACCATTTTTCAGAGGTCACCTCAGGGCAGTTATAAGAAGAATATGGTCTCCTTCCCTTTAGCTTAAGGTGATTTTATTAATGAAGTATTAATTATTATTACTCTTAACTTATTAATGAACTTAGTGTTCATTAGGAAATGAATTATTTTCACTTCTGTATTGTATGTCATACAAAATCTTTGTTCTTTTGAAATAGCACAATATTATTAGGAATTTAAGACCAAAATCATCTGCAAAAGTTTGAAATAATGTTCTTGCTTCTGAATTAAACAATTTAGAATTAGTTTGATTATGTTGTATTAAAAATATGGCTTTTTGTTGAACTAAGAATGAAGATTTCATTTTAAAATTATACATTAGCACAGCTCAATTTTAAAACTTTTTTACTTTTGGTGTTGTAAATAAGGCTTTTAGTCCTACTACTGAATTTATTTATTCAAACAAATTCTGTTACTCGATTCAAGTTTAAAAATAAGAATTATAGGAGCACCTGGGTGGCTCAGTCAGTTAAGTGTCTGCCTTCGGCCCAGGTCATGATCTCCAGATCCTGGGATTATGCCCTGCATCAGGCTTCCTGCTCAGCGGGGAGTCGGCTTCTCCCTCTCCCTCTGCCTCTCTCCCTGCTCATGCTCTCTGTCTGTATCTCTGTCTCAAATGAATAAATAAAATCTTTAAAAAAAATAAGAATTACATATTATAATCAAGTTCAGGTATTCTTTAAACCCAGGGCATTTTGAAAAGGGTAAGACATAATAAAAATAAAGTATTATCTAAAAGCTTAGTTATTTATGAAGAATTGTCAGAGCTGATAATTGAAAAAGGATTTTCTGTTTGGTAATTTAAATTGCAGTGAAGAAATTGCTACTCAACAAACTTGCTGTATTTCCTCGAATATAGATTTTCCCCACTCTTGTGTATTGGATTTTTTGCCAGTATCAAGATGCTCTGTACACTTTGTATCTTTTCACCTTTATTTATTCTGTCCCCATTGCTTGATAAACCATTTCTTCTTTCCTCAGCTGATAAAATTCTAGTCATCTTTCAAGACCTGGCTTAACTGTCACCACCTCTATGAACTTTTCCAACCCTTCTCAGCAGAATTAATCTTTCATCTGTGCTGTCATAGTAGTTTATTCTTATCACTCATAGAGACTGACCACATAAAATTACTGTAAGCTGTTGGTATTTATGGGTTTATTATTCAGTTTTAGCTACTTGCAAGTGACCCTGAAGGTCTGTGTGATAGTCATTTGGATGGCATAAATTCAACTCACGTGTGTTTGATGTTACAGGAATTGCTAAGCTACTGAGTGCAGCTGTCTGCTCAGACTTTATGTATCCATAGTGTTCTTTTCTCATTTGCATTAGACACAGATAACTCTCTTGAGGTGATTAGAAACTGCATTTCTTTGTGAAAGGTGTTCTTTAATAGAAATCCCACTGCTACTGCTTGTGATAAAAACGTTGACAAAGTAAAGAAGCTTAATAAAGTATGCCCCAGTGTAGGATTTGGGGGGTACATTTTTTTTTTCAATTCTATTGAGAAATAATTGACATACCTCACTGTATAAGTTTAAGGTGTATATAGTATGATGGTTTGATTTACCTAGGGAATAAACTTTAGTAAAGTGAATTTTGGAGTAGCTCAGAGCAGTGAAAGAACATGTTTTTCTTTTTTCTTTTTTTTATGTTCAGTTAGCCAACATATAGTACATCATTAGTTTTTGATATAGTGTTCAACGATTCGTTAATTGCGTGTAAAACCCAGTGCTCATGTTTTTCATCTCTTAACTAGGAAACAAGAAAAAGTGATCCTTTGAACTGTTTTCAGTGAGTGCTCTAATTAGTGCAAAATCTGTTTCTCAAATGGGAGGTGAAATTCTAGTGACACTTGGAAATAGCTTGAGGCGTGAAGGTTCATAGGAAAATGAGTGTCAAAATTGATTCGTGGAAAAGCTAGGGGTCTATGCGCACAGTTTTGCTTTTTAAAAAATGATGTAATATAATTTGTATATCATGCAAGTCACCTTTTTACAGTTTACAACTCCATGGTATTTAGTATATCCACAAAGTTGTGCAACCATTACCACTTTCTAATTCTGGAACATTTTTGTCACCCCAAAAGAAACCCCATACACATAAGCATTCACCACCACTTCTGCCCCTGGCAGCCACTTATCTGTCTCTGTGGATTTTCCTATTGTGGCTGATTTAGGTTTTAAATAGATTGTTTGGATTGTAGGGCTATAGTAATAAAAATGAAATTAAGGTAGCATACCATACTATCATAATGACCCAGGCGTAGTACAGATTTATGGCTTCTATTTTTAACAGTTTGCAAATAGTATATTGCAGTATGTTTGTATGAAATATATTAGGACACATATAGTAAAGAATTTTTTGTTAACTGATATTTTAAAATTCTTAGCATGGTGTTTTGGGAGTATACTGCTAAATTGATTGGTTCTAGTATAATAGGGCAGTGGTTAAAAACAAGCCTGTTAATGATAATGATTACCCAAATGATGTTCTTTTCATGCTTGAACTCAAAGATCAAGCTGAAAAGGTAATCTAAAACAAAAATTTGTTTTTCTGCTCTTAAGCCAAATGCCTGGTGACTCCGTTTCAGCAGCTTAGCATGATTTGGGTCATCAGTATCAATTAAAATTGTATTGGTTTTGTACTTTTAGATTTGATTTGTAAATTTGTTTTGGTTTTATAGTTATATAAGGGATATAAGCATATGAACTTTATATCTCTTTAAACGTAACGTAAAATATCTTTACGTTACATTTTAATAATACTTTAAGTCAAGTCTGCCAGGAAATAAGATTTTTTTTTTTCCTTTAAAACAAGGGTACATAACTAAGTTTGACAAATACTATTTCATACATCCACAAACTCTGCTTTTTCAAGCTTAAGGTCAAGGCTGTTCTTTCTGTTAACCATGGTGTAGAATGTATTCCTTCATATCGTAAATGCTTCGTGTGAAGATTCCAGATTTGATGTCAACTAATGTTACGAGAAATACCAACATTTCTGACTATATAGTGAACATTAGAGAATTGTTAGATCAGGCGAAAACTGAAATGGTCATTCATTACTTAATGGAAAGCCCTAAGGAAGGATGCAGAGAATGACTTCAAGAGAATTCCTTCCACTGATAATACAGTGGAGGTGCATTGTGAATGTTGCCTGGTAAGTGGGTGATGAAGGTTTTGAGCATGTGGTTGAGGTAATGAGGGAGAGCTCACTGAAGGTCAGAGGGGCTAGAGAAGTCAGTAAAAGAGTGGCTGTGAAAACCATGTTGACGCATTGGAACAGGCTAGCTGAGATGGTGGTCCTTTACAGGTGAAGTGCTGATTGGCACCTTTCCCAGTTTGGACCAGAGCTTTAAAATTTCCCATGTGATAAATGTTTGTGGAGACTATCTAGAAAGGTATCAAGATTTGCAAAGGAAAAATAAAAACTGGCAATCTACAGTGTTCTTAGTGGTACCCATACCTAGTGAGACCCCTCCGCTGCTGTTCTTCAGCATTCTGCTCCATAGCCGTTTCCCCCTCATCTGTCACCTGTTTCTTCTACCAGGAGTGATGCCAACAACCTGTCAGATGTCAGGTTCTGAACTCCTGCACCCTGAGTGTCCTGCTTTCGAGATGTCCTCTCCATTCACATAGTATGTGTGCTGCGTAGCAGCAGTCACCCCTGCTCATGATCGTGGCTTTGATTTTATTTCATGGTTAAGGTGACCATGGAGCGCTTATTTTTATTGGTAGTTTATTTGAATAATCTAACCTTAGTCCTGTATATACAAAGTTAATAGAAGTCTTAAGATGTCATTAAAATTTTGCAGGGACACTTCATTTTATAGGGCAAGTATATGCTGAGTGGACATTATTCTTTGGGAATTTATAAAAAATCTCCACATGAATCAGTCCCTCATGAATGTCAGGGGGTTGTTGTAGAATATATTTCTGTCTTACGTGCTCTTCTGGAATCCTTTAGGATAGAGTCATTGTCTTGTATTTTTGTGGTTTAAACGCTTGGTATTCTTCCATAAAACATATTCTCAGTCTACAGGTAAAATAAACTACTTTTTTTTTTGGATGTGGTAATATTGAAATACTTTGCTTTTTAAAAATATAGATTGCTGTGAATTGTGTAAGACTGATGAATCACAGACCTGTACCTCTGAAACAAATAATACATTATATATTAAAAAAAAAAAAGTAGGAAGGGAAAAATGAAGGGGGGGATATCGGAGGGGGGAGACGAACCATGAAAGACTATGGACTCTGAGAAACAAACTGAGAGTTTTAGAGGGGAGGGGGGTGGGCAGATGGGTTAGCCAGTTGATGGGTATTAAGGAGGGCACGTACTGAATGGAGCACTGGGTGTTATACGCAAACAATGAATCATGGAACACTATATCAAAAACTAATGATGTATGGTGATTAACATAACATAATAAAATAAAAAAAAATACAGATTGTTTATGGATTGTCTGGACAGTTAGCCTATGTGAAATAAAATGGAACAGCATGTAGTGGGGGGATGTCCTTACCACATTGGATAATTCTGTGATGATCCTGTGTGGTCTTTGCGTGTGAGTGTTCCTAAAAGTCAGCTGTTCTTTCTTCAGATACACTGAAGAGATGGTACCCTGGCACCCTTGCCTGAAACTTATTAGCAACTGTGAGCAGAAGCTTTCCAGTCACACATCAAGGCGCTTGATAACAATGGAAAAGGTGAAGAAATTTGAGGTAAATTATCCTAGTATTTTTTGGATAAATTCTGGAAGAATCCAACGATTTTTTTAGTTTTCTTGTAATGGAGTTTGGAATTGTTAGTCCTTGATTTTTAAAAAGTTACCGAATTCAGGAAGAGGCAGAAGTTCAAGAGGTTTGTGGGATTTGGTGGAATTTAGAGGGTAGGGGTTCGATATAGAAGTTGAATAGCAGAATAGAAATAGAAGTTGACCTTAACTTCTCATCTTTGCCACTAGAGCAGTTAAAAAAAAAAACCCACTTAATTAAACAACTGTTGTTTAATTAGCAATCTGCTAGTTACCATTTTGTCTCCAAAAGCAAGACCTGCTCGATTACAGACTATTCTGAAGAGAAAATGTCACTTTATATAATGGAAAAAGTAATTTGCTGTTATCTGTTAGGGCCCAACACCTGTTCTCTCTCTCTCTCTCTCTTTCTCTAATACACACACACATACACACACACACACTTCTTGAGAAGAACAAAACATCTGTTATTTCATATCCAGATGAGAATTGATATGAAAAATGCCTCATAATGGAGCTTAATTAAATCTGCAGAATGCTCCTTGGGCTATACTTATCTGGATTGACAACCATAGCTTTCCCAAATTCACTAAACTTGAGTAAGCCCCATCTATGTTTTTGATCTGTAGGGTAAGCAGAAAAGAACAGAGTGTTACTGCCTGAAGATTTTGTCATACTCATCTCCACATTTGATTTTTTTTCATCTAATTCATAGTTTAAGGATTCTTTCACAGTAATGAAAACTAATATTTATATAGTGCTTTTTGAATATATTATTATGTATTTCTTGTTTTTGTCCTTTTAGTTTTCATTTGCTATCTGTCTCTTAGATCTTATCACCATATACCTGGTTTGTGCTGATCATCTCCTAAATTATCTTTTTTCCATTTTTCACACCTCTAGTTCTTAATTGTTAAATGACTCTTCCTAACTTCTTTATGCCAAAACTTTAGTGACTCCTTTTCATTACCAAATAAGATTCAATGTGACATAAACTCTCGTCAGTAATCAGGCTCCAGTATCAGGGCATTTCAGAAAGCGTAAGCCGTTTATGCATATAAATAGTTGATCTGTGTTCACTCAGGGGTGGTTGTGTAGGTGTGTATGTATTTGTGTTTTATATACAGGTATATGTGATAGAATTAACATAAGTGGTTGTCATTTTTAAAACAAGTTTATATTCAAACAATATCCTTGGGGTGGCATCTTGTACTCATATTTATATCATAATTATTCTGTATGTTCTTGAAACTTTTAGACTTATATTTAAAAAATATATTAATATTAAACAGTTATTTTATTTTATTTTTTTTTAAAGATTTTATTTATTTATTTATTCATGAGAGACACAGAGAGAGAGAGAGAGAGGCAGAGGGAGAAGCAGGCTTCCCACGGAGCAGGGAGCCCGATGCAGGACTCGATCCCAGGACCCTGGGATCATGACCTGAGCTGAAGGCAGATGCTTAACCATCTGAGCCACCCAGGTGCCCCTTAAACAGTTATTTTGCTGTATAGTAACACCTTGCTTTTCTTCAAATTGTGTTACTGGGCTTTGGTGCTCACATTTTATAGCAGACTGGTCATTTAATTGTTGTTTTTTGGAAATCAGAACCTGTTCCAAGGATGATGATCTACTATTAAATATTTAAAACATTAAGAAGATTCAGAAATTCTAAAAGAGGGGTTTCCAAGTTGTTTGACACAATGACAATCTTCTGAAGTGACAATTTTGGCCGGACAACATTTATTTGGATATACAGTAGAAGTCCTCTTAACTAACCTCCATTTCAAATTCAGTTGATTAACTAGTACTGGCCATTTTTGTTCTAAAACACCAATACTTATGCCTATAACATGTCGGATACTTCCAGCTGTTGACTTGCTTGATCTCTACTATGTCTGTACACTTCTGTACCTACCAGCTGAATTGTCTGTTTGCCATGAATCAGTTGTGTTTGTTTTGTGAACTGTTTAAGTCAGTTATATTTGGTATGGTAATTATGTAGTCTAACTAAATGCTAGTTAGACCAGTGAAATGTGAGTGTGAGAATAAAGTTGTTGCACTTAGAAAAGCTAAGTGCAATACTTCAGAAAGATAGGATGAAGTGAGTTGCGAAGAATGACTCTTGGACTGGGAATGGGTGAGATGACTATAAAGGGTTGGAAAAAAGTTAGCCCATTCTAGGTTTCCCTACCCAGATTGCTTTTAAGAGTCTTTAAGTTCGGGCGCCTGGGTGGCTCAGTTGGTTAAGCGACTGCCTTCGGCTCAGGTCATGATCCTGGAGTCCCAGGATCGAGTCCCGCATCGGGCTCCCTGCTCAGCAGGGGGTCTGCTTCTCCCTCTGACCCTCTTCCCTCTCGTGCTCTCTGTCTCTCATTCTCTCTCTCAAATAAATAAAATCTTTAAAAAAAAAAAAAAAAGTCTTTAAGTTCTTGCATCATTTTACAGAAGCCAAAACTGAAAATCTTTATAGGTCCTGATTCTATATCAAAAGATTGATAAATGAATATTCGGCTTTTTAAGTTAAGATGTTCAGCATATTTACAAAACGTTTTCATTTTTTCCTGCTTTTACTGACTTTTTCAATTAACTAACTGTAGTATTAGTCTGTTTGGGCTACTATAGCAGAATACCACAGACTGAGTGACTTAAATAACAAGTTTATTTTCTTATAGTTCAGGAGGCTGGAAGTCCAAGGTCAAGGTGCCAGCACGTTTGGTTTCTGATGAGACCTCTTGCTGGATTGCAGGTAGCCACCTTCTTGCTATGTCCTCTGTATGCACATACTCTTGGTTCTCTCTCTGCTTACAGGGACATCAGTCCTATTAGATTAGAGCCCCACCCTTATGATTTCATTTAACTTTAATCATCTCCTTTAAGGCTCAGTCTCCAAGTACAGTCATATTGTGGGTTAGGGCTTCAGTATATGAATTTTGGGGGGACACAATTCAGTCCATATCACTAACAATTACCAACATCTATCACAATGAATAAGAGGCCTCTGTTGCATGTTAAAGTATGCTTTTTTCATGCTCTTCCAGTCAGTTACTTCTCATGTATATGTTTGTCTTTTAGTATTTTGAGGGAAGTAAGGCATATAATAATTTAAATTAGTAACACTGAAGGTCTTAGAAGTCACAGCACTTAATGTAATTATTTGAGTTAGTAATAACATTTATGTGCCAGGCACATGAGTAATACATGTAAAAAATAGAAATAGTACCTGTAGATTTTATAATTGTAAGTCTTGATATTAGAAAGTAGAATGAATGACATCAGTATTCTTTATTTTGTGGCCTCCATAAGTAGTACTTGCACCATATGATGGTTATGATGGCTTGAAACACTGTTCAGAAGAAAATATAGAGAAAGTACTCTAACAATGGGGGCCACATAATAAACCAGTCATTTCTATCTTAGTGGCAAAATTGAGATCTGTTGTCATTTTGCATTTGCTTTCCTTTAAGTTTAATTTATTTAAGAAAATCTTTTTTTTTCCAGTACTCTTTCCAGATTTATAATATTTCTGTAGGCGTCTATTTGATACTTGGGAGAAGAAGTAGAGAATGATCTAAGGATGTTTCTGACAATTTTCTTCTACATAAAAATGCTAACTAAGGGCACTCACCTTAGATGTTTTTAAACCTTGAAAGGCAGTGTTAATTTTTGTTTTTATTATTTTACTTTTGTCCTTTCAAATTGATTTAAAAAGCAGGAAAAAGCCTAGTGCTCAAATAATTTTTTGAAACAGTCTTCACTTTATAAGATCAAATTTAATCAGTGAGTTTTAACTAGTATGCAGTGTACTGTAACTGAAAATACTTTGTCACGTTAAATTAATCATGTTTGGTTTTGAATTAATCACTTCATTTCTACCTTCTGTTTGTATGGAGAGGACTGTATATAATTGCAGCAAGATCCTAGTCCTTTATAATTCAAGTGATGACATAAAATTGTCAAACAGTTCTCATACGCGTCTAACAAATTACCCTCGGTCTTGTTCAGCGTTGTTGACTTTGGCAATGGAAGACTATTAATTGTAGATTTTTACACTCTTGTGTACTGTCTTTCTGCATTTTTGGTTTGTCACTTGTTAGGTTTAACTTCAGTATAACTTCTGGCCCACTTGATACATTGTTATAAAGTGTTCTCCCTCTCCCCTTTTAGAATGTAAACTTAAGTTATAAATGAGAAAACTGTCTAAAGAATGTAGGTGTATTGTAAAATTTTGTCTTTTCATTATTGCTGTAGTTTTTAGACTTGCTTGTTGAGCATTAGTAGTAAAGAAGAAAATTTTTGCTACCCATATTAATGAAAATACCTGATAAGAGAAGCCATTAGTCCCTGTTGATACAGTCTGAAAGAGAAGGGAATGATTTATGCTACTTATTGTTTACAGAGCTTTCATACCCATCTGATCATGTTATTTTGCTAATTTTAGAGACTAGGAAGTAGCTGAGTTGAGACCAAAACTTTTCTTTGTACTTGAAATTCTTTGACCTTTTTTATGCATCATATTGCCTCTTTGCCAAGACAGTTTCTGCTTTTGGAACATGCCAGGGTTAAAAGGCAAATATTCTTGAGTGGCATATTTCTAGTTTCTTCTAAAGATCGTTTTTCGTCATTGTTCATGGGGCCATGGTGGAATGTGATTTGTTTTACTAGAATTCATTTTTCCTGTTGATACAACATGTGGTTGACGCTGATGTATATATATTTGTGGTCACAGTGGTTACTTCTGTAAAACATTTTTCTCATATAAAGTTCATTGGGAAAAAATTCCGATTTCCAGAGTTGTCCAGAACAGACCAGAATATGAATGTAATAGTTACATCTTCAGTGAAAATTGCCTAAAACAGTACCTTGTCAACCTTTTCCAGTGGTATACTTGGACAGATGAAAGAGTATCCAAAGTATTCATTTTTGAAACTTCCTTAAAATCTTTTTAAACATTCATGCAGCTTTTA